AGAGAAGCATTGACTGTGCTCTGTTCTATTATAAAGCACGCAGGAAGCGGCTAGAGCACGAAAGAAGTGTAGGGAGAAACACGAGACGTAGTCGAGTGTTTCTTCCCACTAAGACAGAATCTTGAAGTGAAATGTTCAGTGAACTTCAGCCGAATTATGGCTCATAAAAACACGCGAGTTTTTTCACATGAGATGGTAGAAAACAAACTGTTCAAGGCGAATGTTTTTTGAATGAAAGACAGCCGAATTCACCGGAACATGAAGATCGCTCGGGATGATAGCGCCGCAAAACTCGGCTGTAATGACTGATGTGAATTGCCACTCAACGTATCGGAAAGGATATCAGAGCAAGCTCTTATTTTTTCACTCGAAGGGCGGCCGATGTAGTTTCTGAGGCTTGCTTTACTGTGATGACAGGAGATCGCCATGATGAGCGAGCCGCGATGAAATTCAGCATGATCATATTCGCTCAGACACCGTCATGATTAGTATGAATTTTAACAATTATGCCAGTTTGGTTATATTTTTCATCATTTCTGTTTTGTTCTGTTTTGTTTTTGAACACTGAACTTTATATACTATACGAGTGTTAGCTGTGTTTGATTTTTATTACCGTACGTAAGCTTGCAATCTAACTGAGCGTGAAAATCTTTAAAACTCGGAATGTTTATTTTGTTTTTCCTTTGAGGATTTTCGAATCTGCTCACGTTTTAATAACGTAAATTACGGCGCCTGGTATGTTTACAAACCTTTGTTTGATTCTTCTGTTGCTACTTGCCGGCTCGCTTCAGTTCCGAAATTTCACTTTCAATTATCGGAAAAAAGCTAAAAAGGAGTCCCGGAAAAGCTCGAACACAGTACAATTGGCAGATGGCGTGACAGCTTAAGCTCAGCTCTATGCTCTATACTCTCATAGAGCACGCTCTATGAAAATCTTGTTTGTGGTAAGCTTAGGCGAGATAGAAAAAGTTACAAGCGAGACTCTAACTTTTTGTTAATACTGAGGGAAAGAATCGTAGCAACTGAGGAAAAGCTTTCATCTTGTACTCCTTTTTGACAAGATCTCTTGATGATCATTTTGGTTTAAGTTTTTGTTTCCTTGCGCATTTCATTGGTATTAAAGTGCATCCAAGATACGCCTCGTATTACCAACAGAATTTGGCGGAAATTGTCAAAGGGTTATTATGAATAGGATCAACTCTATCAATCATTGCTTTTTTTTTTTTGAGTCATTGAATATTGACGAAGACAGGTGATTTGTAAGTGATTTTCCAACACCTAAATCTACAGGAAGGTCATTTATTGTACTTTGTGAAATCTAATTTTCAAAGGGAGAGTAGCATCATTTTTTTAGTTCGAATAATAACTGGCTTGAGTCGCTAGTAAACTCGTGGAATCAGGTTTGCCTGTCGAATGAAACACGATTCATCTACTGTTTTACTTTGGCCTGCAGATCTTACGCTGCGAGTGAACATTGCCAACGACATTTTCATTGAACATGATGGGCCCTGTATCTAACTGTGAAACAAGAAATTTTCCAGTTGCGAACGCAACTGATCTTTTCCACGCAGCATCTTTAGGCTCAGCTGTGATTACCGCGATAACCTTCCCTCTAACAGTGCTAGGAAATGCGCTGGTTTTGCTGGCTATTTGGAGAAATCGGTCGATGAGAAGTCCATCTTTTTTTCTTCTAGGTATGTTATCCTTTGAGTACTTTCTATGTGGTCTGATTTTTCAACCATTTTATGCAGCAAAAGAGCTAGGTGTCGTACTGAAAAGTCAGAAACAGGGGGTAGTGGTGCCTTCGTCAGAGAGGAGTGCGGCTGCGCTCTATGTTAACTTAATCGCCGGCGGCTTCGGAACGATTTTAATGGCTACTACCATATTAACTGTAACACTAATGGCTTTGGAAAGGTGGATGCACATGACACAAAGACGCTGGGGAAATCTGAGTCGCATTTATAAACTGTTCGTCGCGCTTCTTTCTCAGCCAATACTACTGGGGGTGTTTCGTTCGCTGGAATTAATAACACCTGGGTCGTTCTGCACTGCTGTAAATACACTTGTGATATGCCAGTTCTCATTCTGTTTTACAACAACCACCATCACTTATATTAAAGTATTGTTCAAAATTCGTCGCCACAAACGACAAATTCAGGCAAGTTTTTCATCGCAGAATGCTCCAAGGTTTTCATGTGTCAGCTTAGCGAAGTACAAGAAATCTGTGTTGACTATTTTTTACCATCTGGCACTGTTCTACTTGTGTTACTTTCCATTTACTGTGAGTGTAATTTTATCATTATCATTTGAAGACACGCTAGGTTTAAGAGCGGCTGTTAAGATATCATTGATGTTACTTTTTGTATCATCTATGCTCAACCCTTGTCTTAACTGCTGGAGGATTAGGGAAATTCGCAACGGAGCAAGGATGGCTTTGAAGAAATTAGTCTGCAGAGGTGAAAACGAACTACAGCCGAGGACATGATCTGAGCTAATCCGAAAATGAAAATGGCCTTCGAAAGGCTAATCAATAATATTTAGGTTAGTCTACAAAGAGCTAATAGATAAAGGGTGTAAGTTTTTAAAGAAACTGCAGTTTTGAATCGGTGGGGATAGGACATAATAAGTTGATGATGTTAATAAGCCACCGTATAGAGTTTCGAGCGTTAACCCTTCGTCAGAGTCCTTCCTTTGAAAGCAATTGCACGACTCGAAGTTCTGTGGCGTTTTCATTCTAATGTTTTTGAAGTTGCACATGCTAATTGCCTAATTAAATAATTTTGGTCCGTGCCAATCTTTTGTCGATCCAGTAGCCAGTTTGTTAAAATTGGAACTGTAAAACGTTTTTTTTACATCTTACTTTGAATGCAAAACAAAAAATTTATATTGAAAGAAAAAAAAGCAGAGCAAAATAAAACGGAACGAAACAGAACAAAAAAATAAAACAAATCAAAGTAAAGAAAATTAAACCAACAAAACAAAAAGTCCGGAAATATGGTTGGATGCTTTGTTTAATGTTTTATAAATATTGATGTACGTGGGAAAAGATGCAATTTAGTGCAAACAAATTTCTTTCAAATTTGTACAGCTGACACCTGATCAAATTGCACGGGTACTAAATATCCTAGGAAGTATATATTCATTAGTTCTATAAATTTGAGCGCAATTTGTAATGAAGTTGCACGGTTTCAGCAGCATGTTACAGGCGTTTATTTAGTAAACGGGTGCATGTGGCAGTAGAGGTAGATTTAACCAAAAAAGAGGCGTTGTTTTTCGCGCTACATTGTTCAGTCCCTGTCTCATCTCAGTCGTCTCTCTACTTATAAACTGAAGTGCGTGGGTAGGATGGGAAGGGGAAAAGGACAGATTCTCTTCCCTCTTCTTTCCCATAGTCCCTTTCGTTGAAGTAGTGCCAGTCTTTCGCGATCCCGCGGCCGCGTATTAAGATACGACAGGAGACGACTCAGTTTCAGCCCTCGTTTTATTTTCAGTCCTCTTTGACGCTACTTTCGCGCCCCGATTTCTAGATGAACGCCTGGAACAGGCAACAATCTCAATATTTCTGTCTGGCAAAAGTAATTCTATTCTTCTACAGTGTATATTTAGAATTTGGCCTCCAAGCTGACTTTCCCGCCACACCAATGACTCCATTCTCGCTTCTTGAAAAATTAAAAAAATATTAATCCCGAGATGGTTGGGATTTTCTCTTGATAAATAACGGTAATTTGGCGTTCTGTTGTTGTCTTTTTCAATGTAAAATAGTTAATAAAAGTGTATGGTTTGGGTATTTTGTATTAGGGTTATTAAAAGGTAATTTGGTAATATCACCTGAGTTTTAAACGTACATTAGTCACCATTAAGAGTTTTAAATCTGATGTTTCGAGCGTTGGCCCTTCGTCTTTCGCTTTGACGATACTCTCCCACCGATGCAGCACCTCAGTTTCTTTAAATATTTTCCCCCTTTATTCATTTATCTGGATCATACGCTGTTTCAACTTAGACACGAAGTTAGAAAAAAAGTAAGCAATAGCCTCAACTCTGCGCAGAAGCATGCTTCGTTGAATATGCATGGTCAGTATCTGTTAGGCAAAGCAATTAGTTTTCAGAGAGAGAAGCACGAGGAAAAACCGAGCGTGGAGAATCAGTTGATGATCAAGGATAAATTTAAGAGCATATTTGCAAGTCGATTGAAGGTTACTGCACGGACTCTCCCTCAGACAATTTTTGTGCAGAAAGCAAAATGTTCATAGGTCAATAAACGCCGCCCTCGAATAAACGCCGCGCTCGAATCACCAAAAATTTAATAAGTAGTTTCCAAGAATTTGTCTTAAAGATAATTTATTTTTGCTCCGTCATGTTCGGAGAAAAACCGCAAGATTTATTGGGAAACATTTATCTCCCAGAGCCACGTTGAACCAATAAATACCGCACTTGATAGCTAAATATTTTAATTATTCATTATGTTAAAACACTGAGTTAACGAAAGAGATAAAAACTAAAAGGAGAAGAAAGTTGTACTTGTGTAAAAGACATTATGTAATTGTCTACAGATTAGATGAAAGAAAAAGAATCTTGAATCTCTACCTGTGCGTTATAGCTCAGTGGTTATGAGAGAAATAAACTATGCATAAAGAGTTTCTTAGAAAACAGGAAGTGATTCATCATTCACGGTTTCTGAGAATATTATCACCTGTTCTTGAGCTGTCTGTAAATCGTACTGATTATTGAGTGCAATTTAGCATGCTTCCCTAAAGATATAATCTTGTCCACCGATCTTTGAAAAAAAATTTAGACAAATTCAGAAAGCAAGATTTTTCCGACACGTTTACGAGAAAGAACATGGCGGCGAGTGCAGCCTCTTGTGATCTGTCTACTGGATCGTCTGTGTACGATACATCAGAGGAGAAAACCAATGGCTTAAGACTCGTGTAACTGCTGGTTGATGGAGGAACAGCCATTTTTCGCAAATTTCTATATTTTGTTTACCCACCGGAGAATTTACAAGTCGTCTTAAACAAGAACGAGGCAAAGCTTCAAAGGCTAAAATCGAAAGGTGTAATATTTGCAATCCAATGGGAAATGTTATTCCCTCCCTCAGGTGATCCACCGAACGCAGAAGTGTTCGACATCAAACTACTGCATTTACCGCTCCGCAACATTTGTTATCTTAAGGCGCCTTCCACTGGATGGCACGAAATGCCTCCGCACGATGACGATAGTCCTGAAGCCAACATCGTCCGAATCAAATGTTATGGAAATGACTTGTCTCACCGTGCCTCTACAGAAATTTCAAACGGCGAATTTGAGGATATTTGGACTAAAATAACTTCAACTATTGTGGCACTTGAAGAAAGTGTACTGTGGAAGAAAATCAAAGCCCTGAAAACCGACCCCATCGATCGCCAAACTCAGCAGCATCTGGAAGAGAAAGTCAAATAATGGAGGTTCGAACGACGCAAAGTCTGATATTCACAGTTGTTTACCAGACAAGCTACCAGATGAACTACTGTTTGGTCGATCCCAAGAAACACAGCAAGTCATAGAAATCATTGAAGAGGGTACAATCCCTGTTGCTTTGATTATTGGAGGACCAGGATTTGGAAAGACAACTGTAGCTATCTCAGTAGCTCATGAATTAGCGAGAACCGAAAACAACAGGGCTGTGCTGTTCTACAGTCTTTCATCAAGAGCAAGTCTAAATGAAGTAGCCACAGAGATGATCCATTCATGTGGAGAACTTCAAACGAAGTTGCCCGAGAATCCTGAGCAATGGCTCAAAAACTGGAGTAAACAGATTCATACCCGTGTAACCTTTGTCCTCGACCATGCAGATGATATCATCGACTCTTACTGCAGAAAACAGTTTATAAGCCTGTTGCGTACTGCAAGAATGCTGTCAGAGAAAAGAGTGACCTATGTCATCACCACAAGGAAGACTTTCAAAGATTCTGAATTGCAAACTGGTGAGTTAAGACTTAACCCGTTATTGCCCGAGGAGGCAAAGAATATTCTTGTCTCTCGCGTGTACGACAAAGAGGTCCGAAAAAAGATGAGCAGGACAGAGGAAATAGTCGAACTATGTGGTTTTGTTCCTTTGGCACTCTGCGTTGTTGGATCCTTACTTTAGATTTCCCAGAAGAAAGGCTTATTAAAAACCTCAAAGAGAAACCACTGGAGGTTCTGGAAGATGATCAGAATTCAGTGAAGAAGGCGATAGAGACTTCATTCGATCTCTTAGAGAAATCTGAAAAGGATGCTCTCGTTCTCCTGTCTGTGTTTCCGTGTTCATTTGACTCAGATGCTGCTGAGGCTCTTGTGGAAGTATGTACGAACTCTATAATGCTGCCCATTTCGATCCTTCGGTCCTTGAAAAACAGGTCTCTCGTCGAGCAGCCAAGTTCCCAAAGATATCAGTTGCATTCACTGATCAAAGTCTTCGCGAAAAATGTTTGTACATCAGCACCTCTGTTAGCTAAGGGAGAGAAGGTGGCATGTACTCATTACATGTGTCGCCTTGCAAAAAATGCCAATCTCTTTTGGGGTAAAGACTCTTGCAAACAGTCCTTCGACGCCTTCGATGAAGATAGACAAAATTTTGAGCACTTTCTTCTGGCCTACACCCAAGGAAGGGAGAATGAAGAGATTGCTGTCATGGACTCCTGTGAAGAGTTTCTCACCAGTCTTCCCCAGAAACTAATGTACCTTGAGAAGTGTGTCCTTCCCAGATTTTACATCGAGTTCTTAACAAAGCTAATGGAACCGTCCATCCAGATACTCATCCTGTGCATAAAGTGGAACTTTATTGTCTTCTTGGACATGAAATGAGAAAAGTAGGAGAGGGAGAAGAATACGAGGACTGCATGGAGAAGGCAGAAAAGCTGTATTTAAAACACAAAATGAAATTCGGCGCGAGCCCTTTGTCAGAAGTTATATATCTCCACAGTCATGCTCGCCTTATCTCAGAGAAAAGGATACCCAACAAGCCCAAGGAGGTGTACGAGAAAGCACTCAAAATCTGCGAGCAAAAACTCCCTAATCATCCTGAACGGGTGGCAACACTGTTGTTTGCTTGAAGAAATGCCAAGCGCCGAAATGAATACGAGCAAGCTGAAGAACAGCTCAATCAAGCTTTGAACCTCTCCAAGAATTGTCTCGGTGAACATGTTATGACTGCTCAGTGCTTTAAAGATATCGCCGACCTCCCGTTCTTTGTCAAGAGAAAGGTACTAAAAGGTGAACGTAGTTTTGATACTGTTCTTTCATATTACGAAAAGTCTCTAGAAATGTTAGAACATCTGGGCATGGATGGCCACAAGGAGACCATTCTAACTCTGAAGAACTGTGGATCCTGCCACAGTAGCAATGGTAACTATGAGAAAGCAAGAACGTTTTTGGAAAGAGCGGAACGTGTTGCCGAGAGAGAACTGGAGAACGATCATAGGTGGAAAGTAATGGTGAAAACACAGCAGGCCCTTGTGTTTGACAAAGAAAACAAAGAAGATCGATGATAGAAGCAATGAAGAGTGGACTAAAAATGTGGTACAAACTCGGAAAGACTATCGAAGACCTAGGCAACAAGCATGAGATCCGGAAAGTTCTAGACCGTCATCCCAATAAATTTCCAAAGGATAAGCACCCTCGCTGAAAGGAATAGACGCTCTCTTCATTCTGAATTAAGAATGAATAGATGAGGAACTTTTAAGCCCTTCACTGAACAACTAACTTCACATTATCTCTGACTTGAAGATCGGTATGTTACTTTTTTAGACTCATAATAATAAATCTACCTCTCCAAAAGTTATTTTGCATAATGAATTTCAAGCAGCACTGCAGCGTAACTCTGGGTTAATCAAGCAGCGTAACCCTCTAATAAGTGGGAGATTCGATTTTTTAATTTTTCTTATACATAAAGTAGACTCCAGCGAAAAAGCAAAATTCCTTCAGTTGAGCCTTATCAGTTACTCGTAATAGAAATTTGTCTGACTGCGTTCAAGTAGAAAGGTTCCGAAAATAGTACTTGTCGATGTGTTATCACTTTCACAGCCAAGCTTACCCTCAAACTTACCAGGTTGCTTAAATGTATGTGAGGAGGATGTTTAGCGAATTTTAACCTCATGTCTGCGAATACTCCAATATGGGTTTGTCCTTACTCCTCGAAATATTGCAAATTACTTGTCTTTCATATCAAAATTTTAAGCGGGGAGTCTTGAATTTAAATCACCGATGTTACTGTGTGATGTTAGCCATAGGAAAATTAACTATTTGTAGAAATGTTACAAAAGAGCTATTATAAATTTTAAAAGCAAAAACATTTTGGTTTTTTTCTGCTGAAAAGAATAACATATTCTTTGCTCTTTTGGTGTTAAATTTGAATGACCTGCTGAAGAAATATTTGAAATATATCTAATCGTAACAGAAATAATTAAACGTGTGAATAAACATTATCAACGAATATATTGTGTTTTTGATGAGTAAGTATAGTTCTAGGGGGCAATAGGATATTTGGTGTAAGCTGCTATCTCAGGAACGATTAAAAATAAGGAAATGAGGAAAAACAGTTTAGCGGAGATAATCCTGTAAGACTAAAGCAAACCCAAAAACACCACTCACCCTTCATGATACATGTTTTGTTTTCATTATTTATTATAGACAAACAAATGCAAACTTTATCGTGGGAAAGTTTGAAAGACTAAAATGAGAACCTTTATAATTTAATTTGTCGTGGCGGACTATTTTCATCCGCGAACCTCAGTTATTTTTATTTATTTCACAGATAACTATGCATGAAATAATAACAGTACACCCAATGCTGTGACTTTTTTCGGAATACGATATCCTGGATGACCTTGTCTAATTGTTGGCCAATGCACAACATTTCGTGGAATTTGCTTGGCTTCCAAGAATCCTTAAGATCATTATCTTCCAGACAACATGTATATCCGCTTCTAATATCCAGAGTGAAATGGTGTCATGTTCTGGGTCACGTCTAGCATCTTTTAAGTTCTGTGAAGACGGCTCTTTAAATGTTTTTCGAATTCCATGGACGCGTTTAAACTTCGCTTTGTTGGCTATTCGTCAATTAAATCTCATAGACGAAATGCTCTTTACTGGAAGTCAAATTGACTTCAGAAATTGAAAGAGAGGGAACAAAGCGAGTTGTTTAAAAGTTGCAATATCGAATCGGCCTCGAATTTTGTTTTTGTTTCATGAAAGTTTCTTTTGGCAATTGAGAATCAGTGACGGTTAGATTTAACAGACAGTTACCATGGCCTGTTCCAGAGGTAAGCGAGAAAAAAAGCGAGTAAAAACAGATTTTCTCTCGCATGCTCTTTCGTTCATCTCTACCGGAAGGCTTGACACAGGCTACTGGGTTCCAAGCTTGGAAAAATAAAAGAGCGCAGAAGGAATTAATACCGAGAATTAAAAGGCTTGCATTATCATAATGTTACTCACAGGTCCGAAAAATACTCAACTTATTTGGGTTGCAAATCAGGAAACGCAATTGTGTCTGTCGAAATGAAAGTGTTTATAAAAATTGAAAGCATTATCATAAGCATTATCAAAACCCAGCCGAGCGTCCCTGAAACTATACAGTCCATTGCACATGACGCATCTGGTTAATATAAGAGGAGAATAAAGAAATATTTCTCTTCTATCACTCCATTCACACACCTATAACATTAAAAGGCGAAAGGAAAAGAAACGGCTGAGCTTGACAGAGAGCAAGATGATCCACGGAAAATAAGTCCAAGTTGATTGACTCTAGAAGAAAGGGGAAATGTCATGAAACACATTTTCATTACGCCGGCGTCTTAAACACTTGCCGCTTTCAATATCTTTTTTGCCGTTTTCCAACGTTGCATTTCAGAAAATCGAGAAACTGTATTCTCCTCTCGCCCCTTCTCCCCTCTCCCCCTTCCATCTGACACAAGGAAGGGAGTGACTGCGTGATGTCTGTTTTCCACGATTGTCATGTCAACAATGGGTTTATATCCTTTTTTCCACATACCTGCCTCTGATTGGTTCTGAAAACAAAGCCATGCAGGTTTTGATATTATAATAAAGGATAAGATTTCTTGAATTCCTAGATGTGTCTGATCGCTTTCATAGAAATTTTCAACAGTTACGCTCGTTACTTGCCTCAACAGTGCTTGTAAATGGCGTCCATCTTCGGGCCATCGGAGGAAAAAACTAACGGTACGAAGTTAGCGCGACTGCTAGTTGATGGAGGTACACAAGCGCTCAGGAACGTTTTAGAGTCTTTCATACATCCGCCTTCAACACTGCAAATTATGTTAAACAACAACATGGCGACCCTCACCAACTTAAAGAGCAGACGTAAATTATATGATAGCCAGTGGGAAAAGCTATTTCCTCCATCGGGTGGCCTACCAGACTTAAACACATTTGATATCACTCTTCTACATTTACTGCTTCGTGAAATCTGTCCCACTTTGATTGAACCTGCAACAGGATGGCACGACATGCCAGCAGAAACAGATCACAGTCGTGAAGCCGAGATCGTCCGGATTAAATGCTTGCGAAATAGCCTGTGTCATAGTATTTCCACCGGTGTTCCTAATGACGAGTTTGAAGACAAATGGAACACAATTTCTCATTCTTTAGTAGCCTTAGGGCTTGATCAGCTGGAAATAAACCGCCTAAAAGCAGAGGATATCGATCATGGTACACAGCGACGAATCGATGAAGAAGTGAGGAAATGGAAGCTTGAATTTGAACCAAGAATGAAAAACTTAGAGCAAGACCTTAAACAGTTAAAACTGGATATTTCAAGCAATCAACAACATATTTCCGCGCCACGCGTTACTCGAGAGCTTCTCAATTGTCTTCCAGATGAGATTCACCATGTGTTTGGTCGTTCAGAAGAAATCAAACGAGCCATACAGGCTATTCAAAGTGGAACAGTTTCTATTGTGTCTTTAACAGGTGGACCGGGCTTCGGGAAGACCACTGTGGCCAACAAAGTGGCCCACGAGCTTACCAAGGCAGAATACAATAGGAAGGTTTTATACTGCTCACTTCTATCCCAAGCATCCCTCAAGGACATAGCAACCACAATGTTCCTTATCTGTAGTAACAGCCACTCTCAGCCGCCTGAAAATCCTAAACTTTGGCTTCTTAATTGGAGCAAACAGCAATATGAGAAAGTAACATTGATTCTAGACAATGCAGATCACGTTCTCGAGTCTGGAGATCGACAAGAGTTTGTTAACATGTTGCAAGATTTGAGGACCTACTCAAGGCAAAGTCTAACCTTTATTATTACTTCTAGAAAGACAGTTAATACGTCTAGTTGTGGTTTCAAGATAGAAAACATCAGATTAACCAGTTTGTCTTTAGATGAGGCAGAAAAGGTCCTTCTTTCTCGGACTGACCATGTGAAACAAAAGCTTTCCCAAACGACGAAAATTGTTGAATTGTGTGGCTGCATCCCTTTGGCGCTTTGTATCGTTGGCTCGTTGCTCTCAGAATTCAAAGAGGTGAGATTGATTAAAAGTCTTGAAAAGAAACCTTTAGATGTTCTTCAAGACGATGAAATTTCCGTCGAAAACGCCATCAAGACTTCATTTGATCTCCTGACCCCAACGGAACAAAAGGCGCTGGCAGTCATGTCTGTGTTTCCAGGTTCTTTTGATTTCGATGCTGCTGAGGCTGTAATTACAACAGGAATGGACACTGATGCTGATCCAATTGTAATTCTCCGCTCACTAAGAAACCGGTCTCTTTTAGAACAACCAAGTTCAAATCGATACCAAATTCATCAGCTCATCCAAGCCTTTGCAAAGAGAGTTGGTCAAGCAAGCTTTTCCGAAACAATTCTCCATGTAGAACAACTGGCATGTACCTACTTTATCTGTCGTCTCGCTGAAAATGCAAACTTATACTGGAGCAAAGACAAATGCAAAGAATCTATTCTAAACTTCAATGAAGACAGACACAACTTCGAGCATTTTTTGGAAGTTTACGTTGACATAATCGATAAACTTGATACAATTTCAGATTCCCCTCAAGTACCTTCGGACAAGTTTCTCGAAAATTTTCCACAAAAGTGTATGTATTTAGAAATGTGTCTTTTACCAAGTTTTTACGTTGTCTTCCTCGAAAAACTTTTGAAGTACTTTGAAACCGAATTTGTCCCACTACACATTGTTGAACTTTTATGTCTACTTGGGCATGAAAAGAGGAAAATCGGCTGTCAAGAACAATATCAAAATCTTATGGAACGAGCTAAGGAAGTTTTTATCAGAACTTGCTCAGCTTTTAAAGAATATGCCGGTTTATCACAAGTCCTTTTCTTGAACAGTTACGCGCGCTTCCTTAGTACAAAGCCTCAACACTTACCTCGTGAATGGACTTCGCAACTAATTAGTGATGTTTACGGAATAGCCATGAATTTGTGCCAGAAAAAGTTAGATAAACATCCAGAAACTGCAGCGACCTTGCTATTCTATGGTTGGCACCAGAAAAAAATAGAGCTACTTCAGGAAGCAATGGATCTTTTCCAAGATTGCCTCGGGAATCATTTTATGACTGCTCAATGTCATAAATACATTGCAGACCTCTATTTCAGATGTTATTTCCCTGACGAAAATCCCGCTGAAATAGACAAATGTTTTGAACATTATGGAGCTGCACTGACTATGATGGAGAATCTTGGTGTGGGTGATCACAAGGAGAGTATTTTGACCTTAAAAAAGTTCGCACTTTGTCATCAAAGGAAAGGAAACTATGAAGAGGCCATCAATATCCTTACGAAAGCAAAAGGAATCGCTGAGACTGAATTAGAGGAGGATCACAAATGGAAAGTTATGATTGAAAGTCAGTTGGCTCTTCTACATGAATGCATTGGAAACGTAGAAGAAGCGAAAGAAATTATGAGGAAAGGACTTGACATGAACGAACGACTAAACCAGCCAATAGATCAGCTATCGAACAAAAGGGAGATCAATGAATTCCTTGATCGTCATCCAGAGCTCAGCCGTGTTCGTATGAGACCGTCCTCGCGTAAATGAGATTGACAGATAGAGACGCCTGACATGGTTTTTGTTTAAAAGCTGAGACACAATTAGCGGGTTAATTTAGATTATTCCACTGAGTTGATAACCTAAATTGGCTACCGTAAAGATCGAGTTTCTGAGCTGACGTTTCGAGCGTCAGCCCTTCGTCAGAGAAAATAGAGAAATTGTGGGTCGAGCATAAATTAGCTGTTGAGCGTAAATAGTGATCGCTGAGTATTCGACAAGATTCGTTTTTAGAGTATATATTAGCGTTAATAAATGAGAAAATGCTCGATTTTAGGTCTGTATAGATTCTTGATAGAGAGGCTAAGATTTTGTTTAAACTGTTTACGTTTACGCAAATAATGAGGTCGTCCACAAACATATTAATGCAGTAAAGACAATGGTAGTCGAATAGATAAGATTTCAATGATGTGAGATTGCGAAACGTCCGATATAGTCGCATCTATTTGAGTCAAATATCTGTTCATCTCGAAAACTAATTTCAGATCTCATCTCTTTTAAAAGTAAATATCATATGATGCTATAGTCAATAAGTTTTATATTCTTAAACATGTGGGTTTTTAACTAAAAGTTGGATCGAGTTTCAAGATATCATGTAACTTCTACAACCTACAAAATATTCCCTATATGTGCGAAATCCAAACTTAATGATCGAGTAACAATCTGAAAAGGGCCTCTTCTAGCATTCCTAGTATGAACGGTCTAGCGGATAATCTATTTTGCGTGAAACACTTGGGCAATATCGTGAGGATATTTGTCAGCGTGACTCCTTCAAATTAAAGTTACTGACTGTTAAAAACAATGGACCCTCATAGCAGTCGCTTCTGAGCTTCTCATGATGAGCTTTTTCCTGTGGCATATTGTGACATCTGTCTTGTGGTTTTCGTCGTCACGCTATGCGTGACATGTAAGATGATTACCCCTGAGTCTAAGCGTGCTTGAAACCTACTGGGGTCTGGGAACAGGCGCGAATTTTATTTTTCAAGATGGAGGAATGTTTTAACAAAGTTGTGTCAGTTCACTTGAAGTCTTCAAGCCGAGAAAACAGGTACGATTATGAACAAAACATATTCAGAGGTTTTAATTAAAGACAACGTTTTGACTCCTATGGGCTACGATATTTCTTGCAGAAAGTCTGTCGTACGCATCAATGTATCTTTTCGCTCGATCTCTTCGCCAACGAACAAAGTAAGTCTAGTTTTGTTTACAATCTTAGGTACATATTCCATGTTAGAAGGACTATCAGAAGATCATCTATCAGCGCAAGCTTTACATTGAATAGCTTGCGCTTCTTCTGTTTTAAATACATGTAAATGATTTCGATGATTTCATTTGGGGGACAACTTGCCTTTTTGCATACATGTCTACATGCGAAGTTACTTTCTCTCTCTTTCAAGGAACTTGTTGTCCGAATCACGGATGAAGAAGACTTGTGCTTTCTCTACAATCTTGTTTTAGGCGAAACTGATTTCCACACGTAAGTCTAGCATGTATCTTGCGTTTTTGCGTCGCATTTTAGGTTTTGACTTTTAAAATATTTAGGGAATGCATTGCATTACGATTAATAAGGGATTTAATCTTTTGTAGAGAGAAGAAATGATATACATGTGTATACACAGTATGTAGTAAAGCTTAACAAATAAATTCCATTTTACTGTACATCTGTTCAGTAATAGATCATAGATGAAGTCAAAATAATCTGGTACGAAAAAAAAATTGGCAAACGAGGCACAGCGAAGTATGTCACTAATAGTCTTACCACATTTTGACGTGTTCTGTGATGTTCAACTGTACAGACCGACAGTATCCTAAAATCTAGTTTTTTCCTATGATAACAAAGCAAATGTTGTCAATGGTGACATCATCTGTTAGCTTGTTTTTAATAAATCATAAGTAAGAGCCAATCAAGATGTGTGTATGATTCAGCTTATCATAATATTATAAAAACATGCAGATCATAAGTAAGAGCCAATCAGAATGTGTGAATGATTCACCTTATTATATAAAAACATATAGACATGTGGACTCACTATGCCATTGATAGTTTCAATATGCAAACCAATCAAAACGATTTGATTTGTGTTTGATTTTACATGTAGTAACCAATCAGAACCCATATGTCTGATCTTGTTATTAATATTAGCAGGAGTTGTTGTGAAATCTGTAGCAATCAACATTGAATGATTACTTTCAATGATTAAGGATAGCTGGTATTACATTTCACCCATGCAGGTTAAAAAGTCAACAAGGTTTGTTGGTTGATTTTTGTGCCTTTCCTCAAAAGTTTATTGACCTGTTGGAACTTTGTCGAGAAGAAGAACAACGAGATAGTCCAAAGTAAGTTGAACATTACTGAATAAAAGGGGTAAGTTTCTAAAGAAGTTGTGGTGCTGTGTCAGTGGGAGAGTACAACAAGGTAATTTGGTATTATCAACTGAGTTGGTTATATACATTTGTACATCGGTCACCATTAAGAGTTTTAAAGCTGATATTTTGAGCATTGGCCCTCATCAGAGCAATAATGGTGAAGTTATCACTGATGTATGGCTAATGTTTGAAATGTCAGCTTTGAAACTTTTAATTTCAGCTAATTTATGTTATCAACTCAGTTGATAATAACAAAATTAATTCCCTTGTTGAACATCACTGAAGTTTGATTTCTGTCCTTCCAAAATATGTTTTTAGTTCTCTCCACTATTCATAGGTAATTGAATTGCAAGAAAGAAAGATATTTTAGCATTTATCCATTCAACATTAATATTGCCTCTGCTCTGATGATCATACTTTATAAAAATGACCTAACCCTTTCAGTCCAGAGATCTTAACAGTAATTCTCCTTACTGTCTGTTATACAACTTTTATCAAGTTTGGAGAATTTGGTATTGGATCAACTGATTATTGCCTAATTAATATTTTTCTTTATTCTCATCACTTGTCTACTTGATATTGTATTGATATTGAAGGGAGAAATTCTGTCTTGGTCCCTCCTGGGAGTGACAGGGTTGAATTTTTAGACTTGAACTTTTCTGAGTTTGCTTGATACCTGAATGGTTGTTGCTTCACAGTATTCAATCTTTGTTTATACTTGTGTTTTGCATACAGATTTCTGCTTCAGTTTGTTGTTGGCAGTGGTTTAGATCAAGGTGTGGCCACTCTTCATGTGGTAGAGACCAATCCATTTAAACATCTGACTCACTTATCATTGAAATTCCTTCCTGGATCTGATTCTGAAGTCAAAAAATATCTGGCAAACTGTCTTAAAAATCTGCAGGTGAGTTTTTTTAATAACTTTTTTAGCTCACAAAAATTTTAAAGCATTTTTGCAATGTAAGAAAGTTATTGTATTTTTTAGAAAATGTTGTTACTTGCAGATAAAGGATTTTGGAGACTGCATTTATTTGAGTGTGTTAGGTTTTTTACATACATGTACTTAACATGTACAGGAAGTTTTTCTCAACAATGAAAATGTTCTACATGATAAAAACAGGTGGTGCTCTTCACTGCCTCCTTCTTTTATCAACCTCCTCTCCACAGTCACTTCCCTCTATCCACACAGTGCTTGTTGTAGAGAGTTAGGACTGGTGATAAATAATTGGGGAACACTCCTTCCTAAAAAACTTCAGAAATGATGGTCAACTGGTGACAAAATTTGAGACTTTGAGAATAAAAATCATAAAAAAATTGTTCATCATTTCTTGCCTTTTTAAATTTTGCAATGGTTATTTTGCTTATAGTGTATGAGTATGCGAATTTTTTTTGTCCCTCTTAGGATGAGAAACAAATCTTAGAAAGGCGTCTTGCCAGTACAGAGGCTGATCTTCAACAAAAGCTTAGCACCTGCCAAGAGGTACACATGTAATTTAATTATCAGCAATAGTATATTTTGTTTTGTTATGTAGCCATAACTGTTGACTTTGATCTTGTTGTATTTTTATTTTCCTTTGTCTTACAACTGTTGCTGTGCATATTACTGTAAATAATACTGTTACCATAAAAATCTTGACTGACAGTTGGCTAGGATCTCCTTGCCCATGTCCCAATAATCATGTGCGAGACCTTGGCTGAATGTTGGTCAAGTATTTGAAGACCATTGGCCAAATATTGGATCACTATCAGCTGATTACTAACTGATCCTTATTTAGCTCTTGGCTCTTGTTTGACTACACTGTATACAGTGCAGGTTGATTTATCAATACATTTGTTGTATTTGTCCTATACACTGACAGAGTCTACCCATGTAGTGCACATGATCCAATTTTATTTATTTGTATGATGCAGGTGTTAGCAATCAAAACAAGAGAGTTAAGCTCAGTTCAATCAGACTGCTCAGCCAAGTCATCTCATTTGGAAAACAAGCATGCACAGGAACTGGCAGCAGAAAGGGAAAAAGCACTTCAGGTAGAAGAATTCTCTCAGAGCCAAATTATTGCACCATTTGTTAAATCATTTTTTTGAAAAGTATGTTGGCTATATTGTTTAAAGTCTACACAAAACCCAAATGATGTTTTTTTCTTTTTCAAATGATGTCAACACATACATGTAGTGCTACTTTATGTAGATTTGCTTTCTGTTTAATTTAGTTGGCCACTGAAAAACAACAAAGTTTTGAGAGAGAAAAGAGAGAACTGGAACAGAATCACCAAGCACAGGTGAGCATATTTTCTGTTTGCTAGTACTTCAGGAATTAATATCAAGTTATGTCCTTACCATATGCATGCACATGCAATTTTCATAGTTCTGACAACTAACCCCATCACCTCAATGAAATGTCATCTTGCCAACAACTGACAACTGACATCATAAGTCGTTTTGCCAACACCTTAGATCAACTTTGACAGTCATCTTTGGTCTTTGGTAACAAATGAAATAACAAAAGTTAGTGTCTGCAAGTTTGTGGCAAGTTTGCAACAAGTTGACCAGAGGTGTTGGCAAATTGGTTTGTTGGTAAAGTGATCAATAAAATTTTTGACAGATGATACAGTGTAATTATGTTCAATGTTATTATTTTTAGAACATTATTTTTGTGGCTAGATTTACATGTAATAAATGAAAGACACTCATTTAACTAAAGGGTTGACTCTTTATGGAAGAGCTTCAACTTTTTTTTTAAGGTGCTTCTCTCACTGACTTAAAATCATCCTTTTACTTTCAAATTGGTATTTAATGACTTGCTTTCTTTGTGTTTTCCTTGTTATAGATGGTGAGATTAGAGGCCAGGCTCAAGGATGTTGAAAACTCCAACAGAGTAATTACCTTCCAAATGAATTTTAAGATTTGTATACTTCATTTAACTTTTTAATTCCCACGAGTGACCCAGACAGAATTTCTCCTCACAATATCTATGCAATATTAAGCAGACAAGTAATGAGGTTTGGGAAAAAATCATTGAGGGGATTATTAGTTTATCCAATAACAAATTCTGCAGACTAACATTATAAGAATTGTGTCGCAGACAGCAAGGAGAATTGTTAATGAGATCTTGGTAGTGAAAGGGTTGACTAGTTTTACTCATTCAAAAATTGTCGAAAAGTCAACCATTTAGGGCTGGTTATTTACATGAGGTCTAACCCAGACCACAGTTTTATGCAATCAGTGAGCCAAGGCTCTCTCTACAGAAGGGTTGATTTATTAAATAAACTAAATAAATGTCCTTCCTTCCTTGTTAGCTTTCTGACAGCCTTCTCAACACTGTATAAAAAAAATGAATGTTCAGATTAAAGGTTCAGCTAAATTTAGTATTATTCAGGATACAGTTTTGTTAAACAATGGCTAAACTTTAATCAAATTATTGGCCATTAAAGCCACCTGAAAATGATTCCAGTCTATGGGGCAATCACTAAACAAAAGTTGCAGAGATGGTGCACTACCATGTACACATAGATATAGACTGTTCTTTACAAATTTTTCACAGGACCTGAATCAGAAAAAGTACCAAGCTGATTCTTGCATCAGAGACCTCAAGTCCAAACTAGCAACACTGGATGAGGTACTGTAAGGTTCATTGTGATGTCGACAATGTCTTCCTTTGAGCAATAACCCTTACACCCCTGACATCAGTATGTATATTCTCCACCCTTTTCTTGACACTTTTCTTGTGGTAAAGTATTAGAAGAATTTAGAATTTGTCTGACAATCAAGTACTTCTGTTGTTAGCAATCATTTCCTTTTTATTATTCTTGTGACCTTACTGTTTGATTCAGAGGTGACTCTGATAGAAGAAATCGAATGAAAGTCTCTCTTAAGATTACTGTTTAAAACGTTGATGGGGTTTATAGTACAGTGTTCATGTATTACTGTTTGAATGTCTGTTTCCAGGAATGCAAATTTGCCAAGCAAGAACTTCATAAACTTCGCCGTGAAAATGGCTCCCTGGATTCAGAAAGACATGAACACAGTAAAACACTCAGCCAACTGCAGACTAGAGTGGCTGTGTTGGAACAGGAATTGAGGGACAAGGAACAGGTAGCTATAGTGTAGGTCAAGATTTTAACCCCAGACACGTGTACTTGAATGGATCATTTGACCTTGTCAATAAAAAAAAAAAACAATTAGGAATTGGAAAGGATGCATAGAGAGGAACTCAAAGAGTATAACTCAATTCGTAGAACTTCACAGTTTTAGTCTATGTATGTTTGAGAGACAGTTTGTGGTTATTGCAATGTTTACAAATTGATTACTTCTGCTAAGCTAGCAAGGAAGAAGTGTGGTGGATGGCAAAAGTTTTGAGGAGTAAAGGAATTTTCAATTGAAATAGTTTAATAACATTCTTTCCTCCACCTTGCTTACTGCAGTACATTGCTGTTCTTTAATTAATTATGTTCCAGGTCATAGCACGGACCAATGAACTGTTGGAGAATTCCAATGAACAACGTAGAAAGCAAGAGAAGATATTGGAAGAAAAACAGGAACAGATCAATAAAATGGAAGCCAATATGAAATCTGTAACAGCCGACGTGATCAAGGTACAGTTATTGGGTCATGGATGGTCCTGATTTTTATTCAAGAAAGCACATTACTTTCTAAATGCCATGATTACTGTTATGAAAATTCTGCACTAATGGGTCATATGGCCATGATCTGTCGGTATGGTTGCTTAAAAAATATGTAACAAGGAGCTTTAAAATTCCTCCTGCCAGCCTAGTATTTCATAAGATTTCCTTGGCATTTTGTCAGTGACCATTTCTACCTCTTGCTAGAGAGACTCAGGTGGTCATAGTGAGTTGTTTTTTCTAATTTTCATGGGGTAACAGACTTGGCTAGCTTCTAGATATTCATATCATCCATTGCTATTTGTACATGTAGTCACAAATATTTTGTATTGCCTTGTTTCTAAATGGTTTTGTTGACTTACTTTCAGGGAAATGAGATAATACAAAGGTTACAATCAGAATTACGGACCTACAAGTCTAAGGTACATGTATGAAGTTTATGCTGATGCCTCTTTCCTTCAGTTTTAAGCTTTTTGTAGTGGCTTAATTTACAGAACCAGAGTTCCTTCCTCATAGAGAAGGCCAAATCTTTAAGATTTATCTGATATTAAACTATCCTAGCTCTCTCCTTCTCCTTGTCTCTTTATGGATTAATTGAACAGTGCAGTGGGTAGATGCAATGCGTCAAATAATAGAAGGAAAATTATTTTGCCATACTCTGTACTTTTTCTGTTTTAGATGAAGCTGAAGAGTGTGGTGATGACTAAACAAGAAAAGCTCCTTGAAGAAAAGGTAATAGCCCAATAGTGTGTAACCTGGGTAATTTAGTATTAGCTGAGTTAACAATGTAAATTGGCCACCATAAAGAGTTTCAAAGCTGATGTCTCAAGTGTCAGCCCTTCATTCTGATGTAGGGCTAACTCTCAAAATGTCAGCTTTGAAACTCTTTATGTTATCAGTTCAGTTGATAGTACTAGATTACCTTGTTATACTCTCCCCCTGATGCAGCACCACAGTTTCTTTAGAAAATTACCCCCTTTATTCATGAGTGTGTTACCTTTTGAGGTCATTACTGTACATGGTCCATAGGGTTTGGACTGTACAACTGTTAATCATTTCAAATCCTATTATTTCATTTCATATTGTATCATTCATTTCATTTCACATTATTTCATTTCATATCATTTCAATTCATAACATTGCATTTCATTTCAAAGCATTTTGTTTTATATCATTTTACTTAAATCATTTCATTTCCTTCGTTTCACAATATTCAATGTCTTGTCATTTCATTTTGTATTATCTAATTTTATTTCACATCATTTCATTTCACTGTTTTGTTAGCACTGGTTAAGTGCCACCTGGTTTGCATCTCCTGCACTAATTTGAAAGTACCATTAAGTCCTTAACCCTTTAACCCCTAAGAGTGACCAGCTTCTAATTTCTCCTTACAATATCACCCCTGAATCAAACATTAAGGTCATGAGAATCAGGAAATGATCACCAACTTATAAAGCTCTTGATCTTTAAACAAACTCTCCTTGTCAGTGCTTCAGGAAACGTATAGGGAACGCCATGGAGAATATGCATACTGATGTCAGGGTGTAAAGGGTTAACTTAACCCTGGCAGCCTCTTTGCAACATGGCCTTGTGAGACTTCAATATTTGACTTTTTGACAATTTGATCTTGTCTATTTAGGAAACAGCTTTTGAAAAACACAGACAGGAAAAATCCAGCTTGGAAACTAGCTTGAAGAATAAAGAGGAAGAGGTAAGCTTAGAAGTGATTGGAACTTAGCCAATGCTAGGCCCTTTATCAACAGAGTTAAGTTTTTTGGGAAACATCCTCCCCACCCCCTATATATTTTGTGTTTTTATTCTATACAATACAAATTTTGCTCTAATACTGTTTTACTGAAAGCTTTAGAATCTTTTGTTTCCTTTACTGTTATAATTAAATCACCTTCATCAAAGTGTCATGGCTTGAGATTTCAGTGATAATTATGAAGGTGTTGTCCTTTCCTTGAATGTATAGCTAAAGAAGCTGAGTGAGTCATTGGAGACAACCACAGCCAAGCTTGAAGAAAGTAAACAATTGCTGAAGACTAATGAAAACGGTGAGGATGCCTTAGAAGATCTTAAAATTTGACAACAAAGTGAAGAAACAAGAACTCTTTGGCTGAGATTGAAGTCATTTTGTGGATGACTTTGATCCTGCCTTATCTTATTTTCCAGTTATTGAGTTGGCTTTGGGTGGGGAGAGATTGGGCTGAGCGAAGGACTAGGAGTCTTGACCCAGAGTTTTCGCATCCCAACCACAATTACACAGTTGCTTTCTCTCAACTCTCTTAACCCTTTTACTCCAAAGAGTGACCAAGACAGAATTTCTCCTTACAATATCAATACAATGTCAAGAAGACAAGTGTTAAGAATAAAGAGAAATATCAGTTAGGCAATTAAAAGTTGATTCAATACCGAATTCTCCAAACCAACATCATGAGAACTGTATGGCAGACAGTAAGGAGAATAACTTTTGAGATCTGGGAGTGAAAAGGTTAAGACCAGTTTCTACCAGTCTCTTAAATTATTTCATTTTTGGCATATGGGGATACCTTTGCAGGAGGAACACAGGGTGCCCATCCGTCACTGCCCTATTGACCTGATAGTATTTGTACGTCAAGATAGTGTGGCTTTTAGTAAGTCAAAATGATTTTTTGCTTTGTGTAACACTGTAGTTATCAATTGGCTGAACAAGCAAATGAATGACCAGATGATGTCCCAGCAACGGCTGGGGCCTTTTGAAATGCACACGAAACCTGTGTCCACACGAGGACCGCCTCTAGTGCCATACAACAAGGTTTGTCAAATCATTCTGTTTGCCTTTTTTTTTAATCATCATCAGCAGCATCATCTTCAACCTTATTGTTATTGTTTTTATTATTATTATTATTATTATTATTGTATATTATCATTATTGACATCGTTATCATCATCATAACTATTAACATTGCTATGATAGTGATATTATCATTAGGAATTTCATTATTATTATTATTATTATTATTATTATTATCATTATTAATTTCATTATTGTTATTAGGTGACGAGCACAACAGGAAGCTCCACCACCTCAGCGGGAAACAGAACGGACATTCCACGTTTCTCGGAGCCAGCTCAGGTAGATTTATACTGCTTCATTCCTTATTAAAACATCGTTTAAGCGGTCTTGTCAGGGTAAACTTGTGTCTTGAGTAAATAGAGTTGAGATATGCCCAAATGTACCTTTACTGCCACGCTAACGGTGGAATCTTTCTCGATTACCTCTCTCCTGAACCTTTAATAGATACTTATCGAAATGAAAATATACCTTCTCTTCAGAGTGAAGGCGATTATTTACATTACTGCACAAACCGCTGAAATACAACCGTAAAAGTATGATTCTTACACCTAGCCGTCCGCGTCAACTTTAATTCGAATACTCCTCTTGAGAGTGAAAACTTAAGGCGGTTAATAAATCTTGAAATATTCGCTTCTTGTAATTTCTTTATTAAGTTTGTTTTTGTTTGATTTGAGATTAAAAAACGAATTACATACAAAAGCCGTGGAAAACGATTAGTTTGAATAAAACCAAATGTTGTAGAAATATTCACGTAGATTCTCCTCCATGTTCAAGTAAGCGCGCCAGCCAGCCCCAGGAGTTAGCTTATGATGTTCCATTCAACTCTTGCTTTGTAGATTCATGAATAGTTATCTAACACTGACTGACTTCTTGACAAATTTCCTTGGTCAAACGTCCATTTTACCTCATCCTTGTTATGTAGATCTCATACAGAAAGCCTGGATCTCGCCATGGACTTCTTCCTCAGCCAGTGGGCCAGTCGACTCCCAATGTACCATCAGGTGTGCTGCCTCCTGCAGGGGGTGTCACCCCTCTCAGCCGCCCGCTGACCGGTTTGACGCACAACACAGAACCCTTTCTCGACGCTAAGTATCTTCATCCTACTGCAAATGGAGCTCAGAGGACTGGCACCGAGCCTCCACTTATGTCCGCTTACTTTCCTAAACCACGTGGTACATTGCCTACCACGTGAGCACCATATGTATGGCAAGTTTCCTGTGAAAAAACTTTTGGGAAGTAAGAGAGATGGCCTTGCGAATCATTGAAATGTACGCGTGCGCAGAGAGGAAGCTTGTTTTAAATACAATCAATTGCATCGTTAAGGTCCGAAAGACACGGCCCTACGGGCCAGTTTTTTCCCACCTCCTTTTTCAACTGCGGAAATAACTCCCTACAAGTTGCCTTCGTTTAGAGTTCTTTTCTTTCATCAAGAAGTTGTCATGGCTATACATAGAAAGCTTCTTCCATCTCTGAATAACTTTATGCGCGAATTGAAAAAGACTATCCAAATTTAATCAAACCGGCTGTAGCTGCTTATTTTTCCCCATCGGTGAGACTTTGTTAACCGTGGACAGTCCCTCTAAGGTGAAGTTTTCGTTAAAAGATGTATGGAACCTCAGAGCCAAAAAAATACGACGGATTAAGGGCTGCAGAGTTAAAAAAAAAAGCAGAGTTGTGACTTTTGGCGCTTCACGGTATTTATTTGTTTTTTCTAATGACGTGAGTAACAAGTGTGTCAGATGCCAACGCGTACAATTAGAAGCAGGCTTCGGGAATTCTTGTATACCAATGTAATCCAGTAGTGCAAGAGGCAGCTTTATGTACATATCTATATAATAAAAGTCGTGGAAATGTTCAAAGTTTGTTTGGTAGCGTGGAAGCTGTAAAGAATTTCATATTTAGTGCTTCTTTTTCATCGGTGAAAATTAATTCGTTTTAGTAGTTGAAAACGAATTAATTCTCACAGATGAAAAACAGATGAAAAAGAAGCACTCAATATGAAATTATTTTAATTTGGTCCCGAAATTTCTTATTTTATACACATATATTGATAAATTATTTAATGCATTGGTAGATTACGAACCAGATCATGGAAATTGTTCGCTTGAAGAGTTACTAATTTCGTTTAAATATTGCAGTCGACGAACACGGTCTTTTCACGTCGTAAGTGGCAATTGACTATAACTACCAGATTAACAAATGTAAAGCTGTTAAATGGCAGATTTCTGCCTAGTTTTAGCTCCACATGCAAATATTTGTGCCGATCGAGAATGAAAAGAAGACGACTGAACTGGTGTGACATGCGCGCGCTTATACATTTAAGAGTTTGCGATGCGATTCAGTATCACTTGAACCAGTTAGAGTGTTCGCTTGGAGAGAGATATTTTGAGGATTTCTTTCTGAGCGATGCCGGCTTCCGCGCTACAATACTCCACCACTGAGCTATACGCAAGTCTGCGGTGAGTCAGGCCATCACGAGCTTCATATCTGACACGTGTCTTGCATACTTCTAGAATTAACAACTTTGAAAGCGTCATGTGAGTGAAAAAAAATTGAACAGGTGAAAATTTTTGAGCTGGGAAATGACCTAAAGGAACAGATTCATCGCAGAGCTGTTAATTCGATAGAGAGTTCGATTCATTAGTTAATTACACTCAATTTCCCGCATCAATGACGTCAGAACTAAATTACATCATTACCTTCTATGACATCATAATCACTTCTCGCTTTGGTTTCAGCAAGGAAGCAGATTTATTTAAAGATTTGAGCTTATATGTGTAAAATTTAGTGCAAAAATTCAAGTGAGAAGTTAAAAAAATGACGAATAAGGTCCAACCCGTTGTTATAGAGGTGGGCGAAAACTCTGAAGCGAGCGGACAGCGTGAAAAATGGACCTCGAAAGCTGACTTCATAGCGTCATGTATTGGCTATGCGGTTGGCCTGGGGAATATATGGAGATTCCCGTATCTTTGTTACAAGAACGGCGGAGGTAATTTGGTAAAGCGTAGATATCTATCATAACTTCGTCTTTTTATTTAGGGGTGTAATTTAGGTTTACAAGTGCACACTTTTTAAAACCGTTTTTTACAACTGTCCGCGCGTGAAAACATCTCGTGTCTGATTTTGCACCTTGCAACGCTTTCTTCAATTCGAGAAAATCTATTAAATGCTGGTTGAGTAAGACTGGCAAACAGAAAAAAGGCGATAATACTACAGAAATGCCAGATGTTTCCCAGGCCAACAGCATAGCTTTCTTCCTAAACTGTTGGCTTCGGAAACATCTGACGTTTTCCGTATCTTTGTTACAAGAAGGGTGGAGGTAATTTGATCTCCTAGAGATGTATATCATAGCTTCGTCTTTTTATTCGGCAGTGCAGCTTAAGTTTACAAGTACACACTTTTTAGAATCACAATTAAGTATGCGAAAAATCCATCTTACTCAAAGAGGTTGTATCGCCGCATTTAGTGTCATCTGTTACACGTCGTAAGACTATCTTCAATTCGAGGGAATTTAAAAAATGTCATTTGAATAAGACAGATAAAAACAAAAGAAATGAAAATAAATCGGAAATAAACAAGGATAGCTTAGGATGGAAAAGATTGACAAGGATTGTAAATGCCTGAAGAATAATATTAACCTTGTTTTTTTTTAATATTAACCTTGTTTTCTGCGCCAGCTATGTAGCTCCTTCAATCTTCCGCGCGTACTCTGCCCTCCATCGTAAACCATGCACTAGGATATAAGCTTATTCTTATTTCTTTCATTTTTCATTCCCAGCTACTTTTTTAATTCCATATTTTCTGACGTTGATAACCTGTGGAATTCCTTTGTTTTACCTGGAGCTGGCCCTCGGACAGTATTTGAGTCTCGGTACCATCAAAGCTTGGGCAGTGGTTTGCCCTGCGCTTAAAGGTTTGTGTTGTATAAGATATCCTGAATAATGTCTAGCACTAGCGTAACTTGGAGATATCACAATTAAATATGGAAGACAAAGATGAGCAACTCCACTGTGAGATGTAATGACAACTACTACGCTCTACAAGACAAATTTTCCACTTTTGAATACTCTAAATTGAATAAGGCGTTTCCGCAATCGATGAAGTAGCGCGTTGCACAACTTTTATGATGCAAGGCGCGCTTTACACCGTGAACACGTTGTGGCAGCTCAAATGTTCCGTTATCTTTCATTTGCAGGTATCGGAGTTGCCATGGTGATTATTTCCTTCCTGATCTCTATTTACTACAACGTTGTTATATCCTGGAGTCTTCTGTATCTATATCACTCCTTTGCTTCTGTTGTCCCGTGGAAGTCTTGCGGTAATTCGTGGAACACTGCAAATTGCAGGTAAATAACGACATCAAAAAGTTCTCCCTTTGATTGTAAAAAAACGATATTTACTCAACATATCAATCAGCAAACAGTTTTCATGTTCATATTTCACTTTTTTTTTCGTAAGGAAAATGACGCCAATCTCTACTTAGTAAGATTTCGACCCTTGAGAACATGTCATTTTTAACAACAATGACCTCATTTGTAATAACATAACTTTGTAATATTCTTTTCTTTAGTGAGGACTTCAGAAATTTCACTGCTAACTGCACGACTCTTAATTGCTCAATGACCGCAGTCTCCCCCAGCCAGGAGTTCTGGGAGTAAGTTTAGTTTTTAAAGATTCGCTAATCTTACTAATTTAAACAAACCCAGTTATTTGCAGCGCAGTGCATTACTGATAGGTTGCCTTGGCAATCTTAAATTAACACCGATTTAATTTGCCTTCAAGAAATTGCGATTGCTTAACTTTAACAATTTTGCACAAGATTTGGAAAAAAATTGCGAGTAAATTTGAGGTAAATCATTTCACACAAAAGAGCATGGACACAACTACACAACTACGCATGCGTAGAATGTCATCAAAGACAAAAAGAGCCAGTCAGTGTTACGCATGAGCAGACCATTACACAAACATGTTCAAGTCACGTCGTTAGCTCTTGGCCAAACGAAAAGATGAAAAAAAATTTTGAATAGTGGTGACATCAGTACCTAAAGAGCATATTCTTACTATCTGTGGATAAATAAGTTTCTTCGCAAACAAAAAATAATCACCTTATGAATGAAATTGTTTAATTTTACGACTTACGGTCTTTTTAGGCGTCGTATCTTGGACGTTTCAAATGGCATCGACGAGCCGGGTGAGATTCGTTTACCTTTGGCCACCACGTTGTTTATCTCGTGGATTGCTGTTTTCTTTTGCATCCATAAAGGCATCAAGAGCTCTGGGAAGGTAAACCAAGAAAGTACAGTCTAAAAAAATCAATCTGAATTTTACTTGTTGTTAAAAATTTGCATTCTCTTTGTACATTTTAAAAAATCAATTGGCAAGTAAATGGCAATAAAAAAGAATCGTGACGCATATGATCGCTTGAGTCTAGATTATTGTATCGATAATAGGCGGTAGGACACGATAAGAGAATTTTAATAATGCAGTGATAGAACCACAACCATCTTCCCTTATCTTGTGCTATACGTCTTGCTTTTCTCCGATGAGCTTATCTCGGACCAGTAAGATGCATAGAACAAGATATGAGAAATCATTGTGCCAGGCGCAATCGATGGAATCCTATTTTACAAAAAGTCTAAGTTTGGTATCTTGGAGCCACAGGCGAAAACAGAAGCGTGGTAAACATCATTTCATGAGCCAGAATGGTTTTCTAACTAAAAGGAAATGCCAGGGTCAGTCACGATATATTTTCTTTTGGTTAATATCTCGATCCCTCTTGTTCACAGGTGGCATATTTCACGGCCATCTTCCCCTACATTGTGTTGTGTATCTTATTGGTGCGTGGTGTCACTCTGCCTGGTGCACTTGATGGGATCATCTTTTACCTAAAACCAGACGTCGAAAAGCTCTTAGAGCCACAGGTGAGAAAGAAAATACTGGGCTCTGGTAAGAAGATGATACACACAGAAGCATTTGTCTAATTTATCACGACGCCTCTCAGTTTTTATCTTTATCAACATTGTTCAGTTTGTTAAACTGGTTTTGTTGTTGTTTATAGGTTTGGATCGATGCCGCTACCCAAATATTTTTCTCCCTCAGTGTGGGCCTTGGAGGCCTGGTCACCTATGCCAGCTACAATGAATTCAATAACAACTGTGAACGGTACAATATGCTTTACACACAGCGCTCTCTCTTTCCCACATCACAAGTTACTTAAAATGAGCGAGCAAATGAGTTATTGTCTTTAATTCTCTCGTCTATAGAAACTTTATAATGTCAACCTTCGTGCAATGACAGATGTAAACTTGATTAACAAACTGAGAAGAAAGACTCGGGATGAAAAGTCTATCTCGGCCACTTGATTGACATTTTCATGTTTACCTGACGTATTTGTGTCTGTTTCTAGGGACGCAGTTGTGGTATCGTGCATCAATTGTGCAACCAGTGTAGGCGGAGGGTTTGTGATCTTCAGTGTCATTGGCTTCATGGCCCACACCCTTAATAGAGATGTGGCACAAGTTGTATCCTCTGGTAAGATAACAAGTTAGGGCGTGGTCAGTCTTCACCTCGATTAAGGTTAGGGAAGGGGGGTTCATTGTTTTGACGGGTTCCTAGCCTTTATTCTGAGTTGAAAACAAAAGAAGTTTGTTTTAATCAAATTGTAGGACCTGGTCTTGGTTTCGTGGCTTATCCTGAAGGGATTGCTCAAATGCCGGCTGCACCTGTTTGGGCTGTGATGTTCTTCTTTATGCTTTTCACGATTGGACTTGGCAGTCAGGTAAGACAAATTTCACCACTCTCATTTATAAGAACATTCGTAATTCTAATTATTCTACTCAAATTCAATCTTTGATCTGACTGAGCTGGTGTCTGAGTGACTTACTGACTCAGTGACTTTTTGACTCGGTGACTGATTGACAGGTCAAATGACTCACTGACTGATTGACCGACTGACTGAAACTGACCAAATAAGTGACTCCATAAGTGTATGACTCTCTGACCCACTTATTCTTTGACTAACTGTGGAACTCATTAAGAACTTAATTCACTCTACAGTGTTAAAATCATAACTTATTAACGTTTTCAATATTTAGTTTGTGTTTACAGAGACAACGATTCGGGCGGTGATGGACACCTTCGTCAAACTTCGTCCCTATAAGGGACGATGCCTCTTCTGCCTTTGTGTTATTTCATATCTTATTGGGCTCTCTTGTGTCACTAAGGTTAGTTAATTAATAATGGTAATAGGACCAAGTGGTGTCCAATTCGGTCTGGAATCATATGAGTGATCACAAAATCGGACGAACGCGAAGCGCGGGTCAGATTTGTTAATTAATTATGAGTATGATTCCAGATAGAGTTGGACAACACGAAGTCCTGTTACCAATAAATCATAACCTTTACAATTTCCGGTAAAAAAACTCATTTATTTGAGAAAAAATCTCCGGTGAAGACACTATCAAAAGTAAGAAATTCCTCGTTTTGGAATTCCTCGAGGTTTGTAAGGTAAATGGTTGTTGCTACCGTTGTTGTAATAAACTCGATGATTGGTGGATTTAGCTGTGTGGACTTACTATGATTGGCTCCTTCGATTGTCCGATTACAGGTGTCCGATAACGGCCAACTTTCCGAGATTACTCCGTTCGATTACAACTCTGCAGAATAGTTAGTTAAAAATAAAGTAGCCTATGCACCAATCGCATTTGTGGAAATTGTAATGGTTATGATTAAATGACAAATGGGCCCTATGGATCTTGACATTTTTATTGAAAACAAAAAGTTAAATAGTGCGTTTATTTGAAGATTCTCAGCATTCGTTGCTGATTTAAAATGACCAAAACTGGAAATTATTTAGAAGAGATCATCTTTCAAGAGTTCGAATAATTTAATTTCCTTTTTTTTATTTTTATCAGGGAGGAATCTATGTCCTTAACATATTTGACAGCCAAAGTGGAGGTTTTTCTTTGATTTGTGTGGTTGTTCTCGAAGCTGTTGCTGTCAGTTGGGGATATGGTGAGTTCTCTCATCAGAGCAGCAGTGCTTAAAAAAATTTTACTTAGTTACTGACGAGAAGCTAAAGATTTTCACATTTTCTTTTTAAAGGAGTTGATAAATTCTCAGATAATATCAAGGATATGATTGGAAGGAAACCCAGCAAGTACTTTGTCATCTGCTGGAAATACGTCACACCTCTTGTTGCAACGGTAAGGCCATGCATTTGTGATACATAAGTTTTGCTCCGTTCATACGTGCACAGATCGAGTGCTTAGTTCATATCAGGAAAATCTAAAAGAAAGCTTTCAGATTGAGTGTTGTAAACCAAAGTTCTAAAAGAAAGCTTTCAGATTGAGTGTTGTAAACCAAAGTTATCACCTTGACCAATCAGCATAAAGCTGAAAATCACCAGTAACCAATCAGAATTGAAAGTGAAGTTGCATGACAATTTCAAGCTTTCGGGAAAATCTAATGATTAATCACAACGTTATCACTACAGCCAATCAGGAGAAAGCGCAGCATATTCCTTAGATCGCTGAATCACCCTTGCACAACCCCACCCCCTCCCCTCTCTGTAGACATTTTATGTTACTGATCGTATGTCGCATTGCATTAAACAGTTGATATTTCTGGGAAGCATCACCCAGTGGAAGAGGATCACGTACAATGGATACATGTACCCCGACTGGGCACAAGCTGTGGCATGGCTGCTGGCTTTGTCGTCTTTTCTGGCCATACCCATTTTTGCTCTTTATACAATTTTCCATCCAAAAGGATCATTTAGAGAGGTATGAAAGATTTACTGTCGAATTAAATGGCATTGCCTAGGATTAACACGTGATATTTGAAGAATTCTCGACTCCAGATCAAAAGGTTTCGGCTAAATCTTGGCTGAATCGTTGTCTATATATTGTTGTCATTGGGTGCTCTTTATCAGAGGGTACTGGCTTGAGGATGGTTAGGAAACCTTGATGACCCGCGAAGGGTAAATTGCTGCAGCCTAATATTCCAATAAGGGGGAAGGAAAAATACTCTAATGTACTTCATGATGTAGAAATATAGGATATTGCACGACCACGGGTGGAAAAAAATTTTACCCTTGAAAAATCGTAACTACACCAAGATGAGGTCTTTTAGCTATGTGATTAGGTTTAATACGCAAACTTAACTAAAAATTTTGGCGGATTATGAAATTTAAAAACTTTAATGCAGGGTTTCTCAAGGGAGCTTTTTCATATTTGCTTATGACCACAAAAATGATTTCCACTCTTGTGTTTTTATAGCGATTGAGGAAAGCAGTGAGTCCTAATGTCACAGTTCTGAATTCTGTGGCCGAGCGCCATAACCTGCCAAATAGACCAAGGTAAATTGTTGTGAACGATTGAGCTTTTCAATTATGTTACATGTGACCACAATTAGACTATAAGCAGTCCCTGCTTTTCGGCCAATGGGAAAAAAATTGATTTTAGAGTGCCGCGCGGAACTCTGGGAGTAAGGCGCACGTACTTTTATACTCAATGAGTAAGGGAACATGGATGGTTTCGGAGGTTGACTTTGACAAGAATTGACATTCGGCCGCAGCAGTCTGGGACGAGAATGCTTCTGCAAGAATATTTTCCTTTGGGTTATTTTTTTTTGGCATTAAATAATCTCATCACCTTGAAATTTGTCTTTTGTCTATTATATTTTCGTGTGTGTTGAGTCACGCTACGGGAGAGACGCGCGAAAAGCAGATAACATGCGGGGGAGAATCGTGTAAGGGAAGAAACGCGTGAGGCGAGAAACGTGGGAAAGTAGGACTGCGATAAAAAAATTATGGCGGTCTCTCTTTCTCCCCCCTCCCTCACGTTTGTCTCGTCCTGAAGGCTCCTTTTAGGCTTGTCACCTTATCATATGATGTAATTTAACCTGTGTCTAATCTCCTCTTCTGTTTTGCGTTTACAGAAAATGCCCTGAAACCAGGATCGATTTTGCCGATGTTGACAACTTTTATAATCTTCCGGAGACGGAAGTGTAAATTCTGGCTTAATCGAAATTTGATGTAATGTTATTCATTTGTAAATTGTTTGTCGCGCCCGTAAAAATAATTTCTTTTTTTTTCTTGATGAGCCATTACTTCTTTCATTCAGCTTGAACGAATGAAACTGTTACACAAAATGAAAGAAATAAACCAAAAAAAAAAAGAACGAAAAAATAAAAAAAAGAGACATTGTGAAGTGCTTAAAAAATACTACTGTCTTTGTTTGCAAAACTGGGAGGAACAGATAAAAAAAACATTTATGAAAATTATAAAAAAAAGTAAGCACGAGCTGTTGTGGAAAGCTTTAAAACAGAAAAAGGCGATAAAGAAAAAAAAAACGATAAAATGAAAAATAAGCAACAATAATTAAGAGAGAAATGTTCTTTGCAATAAGATATTTTTTAAACACAAAATAGGACACAGTATAGAAACTAGCACAATACGTCGTGTTTTTTAATCCAAGCGTCCTCTTGTTCATTTTCGGTTCCTCCTGTTTTACTGTTCTTGTGGTTATTGTTCTTTTGAAGCTTCAAAATAAAGAATTTACAAAACACTGAAAAAACAGAAAACGTTTCATTTGTTTTGATTGCTACTAGCCATACAAATTTGTGTGAGCTTTTAGTCCGTGGTTGAAAACTGAAGGTGAAGTCAACAGAGAGATTACCACCGCTGAAGCTTACAGTAAGTACTGTGGGCGGTTTGCGGACTGGATTTTGACATGTGCGTCACGTGATCACATGTAAGGACAGTCAATCAAGCCCACACTTCGCGATCCATCAGAAGGTCATTTCGGGTCGATTACGAGCTTGCCCGTAGACGTCTTCGTGATTGGGGCTCAAATTAACATCTTAGACTTGCAAAGTATAATAGAAAGGGACACACTTCATTTTCGCTCATGAATTTGAAGGAGTGTCAGGGTATTTTCTCTTCGTTCCGTTCGTTAATGGGAAATTGAGGCAGAAGCTTTCCAAATTTCAAGGTTCGTTTATTTATGTTTACACACGAACCAATGTGAACTCAGGGGAAACACCTGTCAACTGCGCAAGTGCGGGAAAAAACGCAGACAAAGTTGTGATAAGTTTTAATCTTGCTCCTGAATTGGTTGAAATGATGGCACGAGGTTCTTATACCAATCACACTTAGCAGTTACCTTTTCTTCAAAAAAAAAAACAACAACAACAAATTTTGAAAATTTTCGATTGACGCTGATTTGACTTCAAGCTATGATTGGCTGCTTGTCATATTTCATTTCCTAACGTTGACGTTTCGAGCATTAGCCCTTCGTTAGAACGAAGGGCTAACGCTCGAATTGTCAGCTTTAAAACCGTCTATGGTGGCGAATTTACATTATCAACCCAGTAGATAAAACCAATACCCCAATTTATTTTCTCTAAAAACACCCCCTTTAAATATATCTTTTAGTTTGGTCATCGACCGTCTAAAGACTCTAAATCGAAAAGCGCTCCGGCTGTAAATTCAACAATGTTCGTTACTAAAATTCGCCTCAAACATAGATTTGTTTGACGCCCGTTGGGTTTAAAAGCGTGACGACTTTGTAAAGGTGTAATATAAATATAAATTTACAGATATATATATATATATATGTGTGTTTCTACGTTCTAAATCTTTGTATCTTCTTATATTTTTCCCTCCTCAAGAAGGTTTAAAGATTATTAACAATTATCCCATGGTGAGCTTGATAACGTATAAATTAAAGTTTCATTGATGGCTCTTCATCAGAAATGGTAAATTCCACAGAATTGCTCTCTGTATTCAAATTGTGTGATGCATTTGACAGCTTCTGTTTTGCTTTCTTCGCATGCGTCTCTTACCTTCTTCAAATGCTTTCTTGTCAGGGTTGAAACGAGGTCAAGAGATTTAAAAACCTCATTTCACATTTGAAAGACTTCGTATAAGTTTTTCTTGAAGAACACTATTTAGTTATCACGTTTTTTCTACAGAAGATGAAGTCGTAATAGAGCTGTTAAACTCCTAAATAATTATTTCTGTTGTGATAAGTAAGGAGATTTCACCAAACGATCTCTTCGAAAGCTGCAAGAAATGACCTCCTCAGCGCTGATTCCCTCCAATTTCTCATCAGATACGAAAGACGTATGAATGCAAAAGAACTGCCAGCAGTATCTTTACCTCATTTCCACAACAGAAACGATAACCTTGCCCATCGTATACAAACCCAAGCGTTGAGTCGGTGCCTTGAAGAACTTATACAAGATGATAACTTTTATGATTGTTCGTGACATTATTCGAATGTGAGGCGTGTTTCTTGTGTGTCGGTAGTTCGTGTTTTCTGCGGTTGGCGTCGTATTTTGCCTGCAAGTAAAAATTATGATTGATGTTTGCAACAGATGACTTATACAGCTGTGCGTGAGGTTTAAGTTTTTCAAAAACCATTAAAAAAATACAGAATTTCCAAGATCCGCTCTCTACTCCAATCTGTCGAAACAAATCTCGAGTGCGCGTTTTAATGGCTTCGTACGAGCCAGGATGTTTCACTTTTATGTATGTTCCTCATACTGTTCTTTATAAATTTCCTAAGGAGCTTACCAGAAGAATTTGTTTAATAATCAAGAGCTGTTTAGAACGTGATCATTTCCTTCATTCTCGTGACCTTAAAGTGTGATTCAGGGCTGATATTGTAAGGAGAAATACGACGCTAGTCGCTCTCTGTGTTTGACTCACCACACAATAATCGTTGATAATGAAACTCACCTTGTTGTATAGAAATACTCCAAAAATGGCAGCTAACATCCCCACTCCGTTATACAAACTGACGGGATTTCGCAGGAACATTATAGACACTGTAATTACTAAAATCCTTTTAGTGGCGGAAGCCACTGCATAACTTAGTGGAGTCACTAAAGATAACACTGTAAAAGCCACCATATTCTGGGCAAAATTTAAAAATCCATTTATCGTTAAGATTACCAACAGCCATAGAATATCCTCCTTTCCCTGAAATGAAGAAAGCAAATTGTTATCAACCAAAAATTTATTCTGTACTGTATTTGAGTTAGCTGGATTTTCTACGTCTACAGTAGGTAATAACAAGATTTTAAGTGCAATTTGTTGTTTATAAGCACAAGTAAATTTTTTAAAGACAGAAAAATTGACCAAGTGCTTATTTCACCAAACTGCAAGAGAAATCATATAATACCTTGTTTATGATGTACATGAAAAAAAAAAAGAGGAAGGCAGTACAGACGAAATTTTGAAAGCGTGCACGCGCTATTTGTAATTTGTACGTGTTTTACATCTTTGCACCCATCTTACATGAGAATTCACTCGTTTTTACCAATCAGAATCGCGCAATTGTTCATGTACATTATCAGACACGGTATTAAAAGAATTATGTAATTTGGAAAAACACAGGGGGGAACAGACACCAGACCTACACCTATACCAAATGTCTGACAGAGGTTCTAGCACTGAGCTTGGGGTAGAAGGAGCAGTTGGTGTGAAATACATGTTGGCCACATACATGTACAAGCTTTTCACCAGTGAGTGAAAAGTTAGTGTACTCCAGGTGGAGAGTCTAGGTTTGAGTCTTGGCTAGGTCATTCTGCTGTATTCTGGGGTAAAACATTTCACTTTCACCATGCCTCTCTCTACCCAGGAGTATAAATGGGTACTGGCAAAATATCAGTGAACCCTGATGAAATTCTGGAGGGGGTGTAACCTTGCAATGGACTAAAACCATCCAAGGGGGAGAAGTGATACTTCATGTAAAGGGAAAAGGATAAGGCATACAGGCAACCTTTTTAAATGCAATATCAAAATGTGACACACAAGCAGCAAAACAGAAAGTGTACATGTAGAAAAAGTTTGATTATATTTTTATGCTTACCGATTCAAGTTCAAGTATAATTCTTCTTAGATCATACAGTGCCCAAGTAGGTAGCAACATGGCAGATGCTATAGTTGCCATTAGCAATAACAAACGTAAGTGATTCAGTTGCAAGTCTCTAAGTGCCTGATCATTAAAAAAAAATATATATACATGAAATTTGATTAGAAGAAGTATCATACAGCAAAACAACTAAAATGTAGCAGATATAAATTAAAAGAAAAAACGGTTGAGAGACGGATGGAGGAAAGGGGTGCCAGGGAGGGTGAAGTAAGAGAAGGCTGAAGAAAGAAGTGTTAGAAGCTCTAGCCCAAGATAAGCCTACAGAAGAGGCCTTTTGTGGCATTTCTTGGGCAAGAAGAGACAAAAACAAGTGTTGTGACCAATTTTGCCTCTATGGAATTATAAAAAGACTTTAAAAGAAATCTGTTGGCACTTCTGCCTTAGCACTTGTGCAATTACTGTCTTTGTTTCATTTCCATTGTTCAATTTCAGGTGCGCACTCATTAGTTAATTCAAATGATCTAAATTTTAATGACATAATGTGTTTGGTCCTGCATTCAAAAATAAAGTTTTTTGAGGGGGGGGGGGGTGTTGAGTCAAACTGGAGTTGTATCGTTCTTCCGCATTTAAAGGGTTGTTATGGATTTTAGGCATTTTATGGATTTTTAGTGCTGTCAGGAAAACCGTCAGAACAACAAGTCAAGAGGAGAGTGAGGAGAGTGCAAGGGGTGAGTAGCAGGTTAGAGAAAGGGTGAAAAAAGACATCATTTTGGGCTGTCTGCCTTTTGGTGCACGGTCACTTTTGCTAAATCTGAAAATCCAGAAAAATGACTCAATTGGTGCTATTATAGAGAGTGAAGAAAATGTCCTAACTATGCAATGAGATTCAAGAAAATGAGGCTCAGGCCCCAGTTGTCTGGATCTTCAATGCTGTAAGATTAGCAAGGGACATAAAATAAAAATTCCATACATTACAGTGTACCTGTTGTAAAGCCCCAATGATATTGTTTACAGTTAAATTATTGAAATTTTAATCTGAGCTCAAAAAAGTGCTCAATCATCCATAGAAAAAGATGAGTGAGAAAAGGGACAGAGGGAAAGAAATAAGGGGGAGTAGAGGGAGAAAGGAATGATGTACAGTTGTAGAGGGAGGAGGAGAAAGAAAAAGAAATGAGGGCCAAGCAGGTGGGAAAAAGAGAATGGAGAGGCAGTGCTTACCTTTTTAGTAAAAATATTCTGTACAGCAAAAGTAAAGGTTGCTAACAGGGCACTAAGAAGACCAACCATGTTAAAAGATAGTTCTGTGGCTGTGGCAATCATGACTCCACCAACAATGGGAATTAATGAACAGTAAACCTAATAAGTGCACCAAACAACTTTCAATAGTGAACATGATGACCAGAATGAATTCATGAACATAACATATTCACATGAAGTGCAAATTACAAAACAAATCATGATTTATCACAAATCCATCCATCTACATGTACAAGTGTTAACCAGACTTAAACCCCAAGGAAAGATGAAGAAATAACATCTCTTTACAACATCAATACACTATCCAGCAGAGAGGCAATTAGAATGAAGAAGAATATCATTTAGGAGTTTTTTTTTTTCATCAGACACCACATCTCACAATTAAAATTGCAAAAAAGAAAGAAGAAAAATAACCTAAGTTAGACAGTAACAATAATTACTCATAAGATGTGAGAAAACAGGGGAGAGGGGAGTTGGATGGTTGCCAGTTTTGAGATACCCCAGTTCAATGGAGTTTTAAACCAAATATATTTGGAAAGAATTAAATAAACGATATTTATTATTATACTTGTCTGCATAACAATGAAAGATTAGCATAAACTCACCGCTCCTGATTGCGTTTCTCCTAAAATTACTCTTGATAAAATAACTGTGAAGACTGGCATTGTTGCCTGTAAAAAGATATGAGCAAAATTTTTAATGGTTCTTTTGAGCAAGATTGTAAGCTATAATTGATCCCACTGGGAATAATAATATTGACAATCATATTTTTAATTTCCCTAACTTAACTTGTCTGTTGATCTGAATTGCAAATACATCTACCATGGACTCCTAGTGTTTCAATGCTCCAGGTATCTTTATATTAAACTTCCTTTTAATCCACAGTTGAACAACTGAAGATTTTAGAAAACAGTTGAGAGCAACTTAGAGCAGTAAAAGAACCTGATGTTATTTTTGATGACACATCACCAATATCAAATGGAAATAATAAATAGTTGATTATGATTTGGATCCCCATAGAAACAAAAATGTAAGGTTAAAATTCATAACAAAGAAAAGTGTGGAAATACCAAGAGGAATTTTCTGAAACTTCCCACAAGATTACTATATACATCATAGTGTTAGGGTTATAGGGTTTCTTACAAAAAAACTCTTTCACCCCTAAAGGTGACTTTCTCCTGACCAGACCATCCCTAAATCAAATATTAAGGTCATGAGAATAAAGAAAATGATCACCAACTGAAGAAACTCTTGATTGTTAAACAAATTCTCCTTGTCAGAACCTCTGAGGTGACCACCTCAGGTGTCATTTTTCATTATTAAAATACTCCAAAACTAAACCAGTCCTAAGTGTGAATTGAACTTACCTTAACTTGAGTGTAGTATCCATGAAAATTCATGAAAAAAAGAAAAGAAAATATGCATTTAAATTTTAAAAAAATGTTTAAAAAATGAACAATTGAAGGGAGCTAAGCCACCTTAGACATTTTTTTGAAAGAAAATAAAAATTTAAAAAAAGCTACAAATGACAACTGATGGACAACACATCAGGAAAGGAATAATATTCTTCCTGAAAAAAAAAACAAGAAAAACAAAATTTTTTTTGAAAGAATTCTGTACCCTTTGAGTAAAAGTAGTGTGATCTCTCTGTGATTTTAATGTTTCCAAATCAGAGACAAAAAAAAACCCTAACACAAAAAAATAAAAAAATTGAGGTGTCACTTGGTATCACACTACTTGCAACAACCGTCTTTTCTGATGTGCTACCTTCATTGCGGAGTTAACACTATGAACCGTAAGAGTGACCAGCAGCTAATTACTCCTAACAGTAACACTGCTAAACCATTCATGCATCAAGGTCGTGAGAAAAAAAATAATGATCCAAAAGCTTTGATGGTGAATCACGACAAAAACTCGTTTTCCTCGCTTCTTGGATACGGGATTACCTTCAGTTGTGTTTCAATACCAATCCATAATCATTCGTGATAACCCTTGCTGAACAGGCTGTTTTACGTTAATTTGTCAAGATATAACAACTAACGCCGATAAAACTGAAATCATTGAGATCGAGTGTCAGCATTAGCACAGCTGTTCCTCTAATTCAATGACGTCGCGTCGTGAAGTGGAAACCAAAACGCCACGAGTTGCCTGATTTGTATCATAATATGCACTTCCACGGGTCAACAACATAACTTGAATAAATTGCCTGTAGATTTGAACGGCTGATAATCACAGAGAACGTGCTTAAGATAAACTCTGAGAATGAGTAACAAATATTAACTTTTTTTTTAAATTGCTTGAAGCTTTCTGATCAATCAAATTAGTCCTGAAGCAGTTCTTCTCCGATGTTTATTAAAATAATAGGAACCTATCTTTGTAAAATTATTGTTTTTTTTATATCAACCTACCCGTGTGAGAATACGAGACAGGTACTTTCCATATGCTGACATGTGCCGTTATCGCAGCAAAAGCCTTTCCAAAGGAAAGTGGTAAGATCAGTTTCAGAAGACTCGATTTCGGCAAAGATTTCATAGGAGGAACACTCCAAACACGAAGAGTTGGCGATAAATATAGGGCCGTTGAGACGACTTGAACCATGGCCACGGTAACAGGAAAAGGAAAATCTGTCAGTATCTTCTTCCCGATAACATTGTTCGTCGAGCTGATCGTGTACCATAACGAGCACAGAAGAACTATTCGGAATGCTTCTGCTCCAAAACTCGTGGCCATGTCTTCGATCGGCTTGCCGGTTTTTCCTCGTTACCGACACGTCATAGCCATGTATCCACGCTTCCGGTTCAAATGTGTCCTATTTACTTCCGGTTTCAGTCATCAATCATTTTGTTAAGACGCAATCAGTCGAGCGACATCGCGTAAATGTATCTCTCAAAAATGTACCATCGACAGTTCTTTTTACTTGTAATTTTACTAGTTTTGCCTTTTATATCGTATTCCAAAGAGGATAAAGTTGATAAAAGAAGGAATGTTCTAGTTTTCATCGGAGACGATGCCGGCTTCGAAACTCAAGTTTACAACAACACAGTTTGCAGGACCCCGAACATAAATGCATTAGCAAAACGCAGTGTGATTTTCAGGAATGGCTTCACCTCTGTTAGTAGCTGTTCTCCAAGTAGGTCAACGATATTGACAGGTAAGAAAATTCGTTTTGCAAGGAAAGTTTTGCGGTAGCTTGAGATACAATTCATATCGAGAACAATTTCGTGCAGGAGGTAAGTCACATGATCTTTGGCCCTAACGGAACGCAAACAAAATTTAAAGAAGGGACCCTTTTTGTGCCTGGACCGCAGAAACATGTTCATTTTGATATGTTTCTGTTTTCAGTTGTCCACTAGCGATCGTGTTTGAAAAAAAGCATGGGCCGCAATCAAAGCTGCAAACAAAATGCTGATAACATAATGAATGGAATCTGGAACTTGGCTGATTATACGATAATAATGCAATATATTTAAATTACCTGTTGTTTAATAAGGGTGCATGCACAATATATCTTGTATTAGTTGTGGAAATGCTACAGGGTGTGAAGCACTTGCAGTGAAGTTGCATCTTTTCCAGGGAAAGAAACAATGCCGCTTGTTGCTTTTTGTGGCTACTGCCTCCTATAAGAGATGTAAACTTAATGCGCTAGTGGGTATAAGCCAAAATCACAACAGGAGAGAACTCAACATCTCACAATCTTTTGAGCATTGCGCGCGATTAAAAACCAAACGTTTTTCCTCGCAGAAATATCTTTATAGGTGATAACGACCCATTATAAAACTAAGAACAATTTTTTTCTTTGAAGAGAGAGCATTTTACCGTTTAAATCAGCGAATTGTCTAGATCAGACGATGTAATTTTTTAAGTTCCTACCGACTACAAAAGATAACAAAAAATATGCGAATAATTTCACAGTGGCATCCACCGACACTTAATTTAAAACAAAATTTCCTGGGAAAAAATATGTCAATAGATGTGATCTGCACATCATAGAAGCTTAGAGGAAATTTTGTTCCTTTCAAACGTTTGAATCAGCAGCCGCTAAATTTTAGTTATTCAACAGAATGATAAAATAAGGAACGGTGGAACAGTGGAACAGTGGATCGCGGAATATCTGAAGACGCGGAATGACGTAATATCCTAAAACGCAGAATGCCTTTTTGTTTGGAACAAAAGTCTCAAAAAATTAAATCCCATAAAAAAAGGAACATTATTTATTATCAGCAAGCAAAATTGAAAGGAACTGAATACATATAAAAGGAAAATTATTTATCATGGGCAAGAAAAATTAAAAGAAGCATAGGTAATCATTGTTGGAGCCCAGAGGATAGGGGAACCATTAGGCTTTTGAGCTAGCCCTTTAAATTACAAAATTATCATTATTATTAGTCAATATTATTATCTGTTACTATTTAATTGTTAGTTGAATGTCAATTCAACAATATATTCTTGAATCACCTTCTTCTTGTGGAACAGGTGATACTCATAAATGTGTGGGATGTGGCAGGTTTTTTGTTTTTTTATGTCAAACAAATGTTCTGCCACACTACCTTCCAGTGTCATTATACAACCTTTAGTTCTTTTCAATGCTATAAAAATTGAGCTATATTAGTAGCCACACACAGTCTTTGACTGTCTACTTTTAATTTTTCTCTATAGCTGCTGCACATTTCCTTGTCAATTGCTTACGAGAATTTGGTGTAAGGTCAAAATAACAAATTTTTTTCTGTCAAATTTGAGTGGGATAGTTTCATTCCCTGTCTGCTAGATAATGCAAGGATATTATTGGGAGAAGTTAGATTTTGATTGATTCAGTTAGTCAGAGGTTTAATGCTATGCAGATCAGGATAACCTCAGGCTGTCTGGGCTGGAAGACTTGTCCTTTACACCAGTATGCATATTCTCCATACTGTTCTTTATACATTTCCTCAGGTGCTGACAAGGAGAATTAACTCAATGATCCAGAACTTCAGTGTTTGTTGATCATTTTCATAATTCTCATTACCTCAATGTGTGATTCAGGGGTGATATTGTAAGGAGAAATTAGATGCTCGTCACTCTTAAGGGCTAAAGGGTTAAGAGACACAGAGAAACTCAAAAAATTACTTCTGTTTAATGGCTCTAGGTCTTCCACAGCACCAGAATGGTATGTACGGCCTCCACCATCAGTACCATCACTTCAACTCATTTGATGAAGTCCAGAGCCTTCCTATGATATTAAAAAAGGGAAATGTACGGACAGGAATCATTGGCAAGAAACATGTGGGACCTGATATGGTGAGCACAGCTGGGACCTCTGATGGCATGAAGTTGATTAGTTGCTGAGCTGCCTATCTCTGTAAAATTGTAATCTGTAGATATTTTATTTTATATAAGGACTCCCCACTCTCTATTCTCTTCAGATTTGTTAATCAATCAAGTAACAAAATTGTTTCAAAATGGAAACACCATTACAATTCAAAATCAAAAGAGCTTAACCCTTTAACTCCCACGAGTGACCAAGACAGAATCTCTCCTCACAACATCAATACAATATCAAGCAGTGACAAGACTACAGAAAAATATCAACAAGGGGATTATTAGTTAATTCATAATCAAATTCTCAGAACTAACCTCAAAAGAACTGTATGGCAGACAGTAAAGAGAAGTACTAAATAAATGAAATCCTGCTCATTTTGAGTAATTGTTTTATAGGTGTATCCATTTGAATTTGCTTTTGATGAAGAGAACTGCCAGCTGCTTCAATGTGGCCGCAACATCACCCATATGAAGGACCTTGCTCGAAAGTTTTTCGAAGGCTCAAAAAATGATTCACGGCCATTCTTTCTGTACATGGGTTTTTTTGATCCCCATCGTTGTAGTGGAAATAAGTATGGTGAGTAGTGCACATTTTATATTGTGAGTCTTAAGTTAAATTTTTGATGGTGAGAACTTGATCTTCAACTTTTTAAAGAGATTAGAGATTAGAGCATGAGATTATTTGGTGCAGATCGGTATTCAGTCATATCGGAAGACACTCAAAGATTTCCAACCACTTTTGTAAAATTTCAGAGAAAGTCTCAAAGAGTTTTGACACAACTTCCCCTTTAGTGCTCTTCCTTCTGACGCACATTCTTGACTGCGGGGAAACGTACACTGTGGTGATCGTTGTCCAGGGCTTTGTGTTTATCTGAGTGGGTTGAGATTAACATATATTTTTGTAGAAAATGTGTCTGTCAAGGCAGCAATTCAAGGACAATTTTTCACATTTTATAAAAAAGCTAGTGGGTACAATAAATAACATGGTCTGGTATGAGATCGTATTTTTTAACCCACTGAGGCAAGAATCATGCCCAAGCCATGTGAGTTGGCAAGATTAGGTTGAGGATGCGACACGTGCTCTGCATACTGCCACGATCAGTGATGGTGAAAGTATCATTTGACTGAATTGAACAAGAAAGATTATAAGCTTTGAACTCGATAATGAAACTAAGAGACATTTTTTTGTGTCCTGTATCTTCCTGAAAAAAATTTTGTTGTAGGGCCATTTTGTGAGAAGTTTGGGAACGGCGAGCCTGGAATGGGTGTCATCCCTGACTGGAAGCCCCTCTACTACTCCCCTGAGGAGGTGGTTGTCCCATATTTTATACAAGACACCCCAGCAGCAAGGGAAGAGATTGCCAAGCAGTACACCACAATCAGCCGTCTTGATCAGGGCATAGGACTAATCTTAGAGGAACTTCGCCTGGCAGGCTTTGAAGAGAACACTCTCGTCATCTTTAGCTCAGATAATGGGATCCCTTTTCCTGGTGCTAAGACAAACCTGTATCATCCTGGTATGGCAGAGCCTTATCTAGTTTCGTCCCCTTTTGCTCCTGAACGTTGGGGACAGATAAGTGACGCTATGGTGAGCCTCCTCGATATAGTGCCTACGGTGTTGGATTGGTTTGGGATCGAGTACCCCAGTTATAAGATTTTTGGGCCCAATGAGGTGCAGCTAACAGGGAACTCTGTACTGCCGGTGTTAAAAAAGGAACCGACATCCGGATGGGACACAGCTTTTGCCAGTCACAACATGCACGAGGTGACTATGTACTACCCGATGCGAGTTCTTCAAAAGAAGAATCTTAAACTTGTCCATAACCTGGCGTATAAGATGCCATATCCCATCGCCTTGGACATTTTTACATCCGACACGTTCGGAGACCTTTTAAACCGCACCCGACGCGGGGTACCCACGGGATGGTATCGCACTCTAGATCAGTATTACTACCGGACGCAGTGGGAACTGTATGATTTGAACACTGATCCTAAAGAACTGAAAAACCTGATCGACAAACCCTCCTATCAGAGCGTGTTTAAAGAGCTACGCCAGGAACTTTTGACCTGGCAGAAGAACACCGGCGATATTTGGATTTGCTCACCCCAGGGAGTCCTGGTGGGGGAGAGTTGCGAGCCTATGGACAATGACGTTTAGGTAGGAGGGTCCATTCGGGGGAGGGAGGGGGGGGGTCTGAGTATCTCGTATCCTATTAATTTTTGGCTTAAATGTCCCGTATCCCGTTAATTCGTGTGGTCTGTATCCCTAAAGTTCAATATCCCGGAATCTCTATTTGAAATATCCCTTATCCCGTCAGTTTTTTTACCCAAATATTCGGTATCCGATGACCCCTTATGGGTTTTTTATGGCATGGGTTTTTATATCCCCCTGGTATGCTTTCCTCCCAGGGAGATACGACCCCGCTACCTCCCTTCCCCTCCCCCTCCCCCCCCCCCCCTTAAAAAAAAAAAAAAAAAAAAAAAAGAAAAGCAAAAAAAATTAATCAGTTGAATCTTCGTTTCATCACAAAACTTTTAATTAATATATCATAAAGTTAGTACCAAAGAATATTATCACAATTTTGCAGTTAAGAGACTGGTGTTCGTGGAATCCCAACAAACGAAATTTTTTCTGAATTTAATTGAATCTGTTTATTGAAAAGATGTTGTTTCATTAATCTAATATATTATCATGTTACAGTAAAATCAATATTTTATTGTAATACGTATTTTATCGATTTCACAATTTACAGTTGAACTTCAAAATTGATATATTGACATTCATTTTACCATTGAAAGCCAAACTTCAGTGTACTACAGAAAAGTTTAGAAGAGTGATATATTGTATTCTTACTTTTCATTTAACCGAAGGAAACGAGATTAAAATCTACACGTGCTAACTCGTTTTGGTGGGTTACATCCTTTTTTAACGAAGAAAATTGTACTCTAATTAGTGCACTTTTCCATCGTGTATTTTAAATATGTCAAAAATTGCTGTACAGTGATTAAAGCCACGTCTATCGCTTTGCTGTTTTTGCAAAAGAAAGGAAGACTAACGAAGATAACTCGAGATTGCGTTGATTTTGCTTTGGAGCGATTTTCAATGGACTGTCAAAAAATAATTCGGGATTGCTACGTTTTTGCTTGATTGGTCCAGAAAACTCGTGCCATTCTCTCAGCCAATCAGACATAAAACAAATACCAATCGTGCCTTGGTTACCCGCGTTTTCCCGCGCTTTTTGTAGTCTGCCTGTTTTTTTCAATGAGTTCTCATTAGCTGATGATAATGTTTTTCTTAAAACTTAGGGAAGTGCAACTGGGTGTCTTCATGCGCTTCAGGCAATTTTGCTTGTTTTCGTTTTGAGCTTAAGGAGGTTCTGTGACTATTGTTGTGTTGTTGTTGGTTTCATGAGTTTTGACTGGAATCTACTGTGCGCGAGTTTCTTTGCAATCAGTAGTTCCAGACCATGTTAAAAAACACGTAACATGTTTTTATAATCAGTAGAAACAAGTGCAGTGGGTGCAAATGAGACAAAGAGCGCTGTTGGTCGTAGCCGATAATTTGATTTTTCCACCTTGTGCTGCCCACGGAACACAGTGTTTGTACAAACTTACTTGCATATCGAGATCCTCTTTGTAAAGGTACTCTCGGTTCCATTCTTCTTGCCCCATAAAGTAAGGCCTGGGTGGAGCTTTACCCGGCACGGACATCGATGAGATGACGTCATGAGGTGACGTGTGAACTACGTCATGATATGACGTCAGGGTAATGTTGCTGTTAGGCACAACGCGTCTCTCTTCCTCGTCTGTAGAGCCAGTTCTAAAGCGCTTCTTCCTTCTCATGAAGCTTCCACCTTCGAACATGTGTGTGCTCTGTGGGTGAAGACACCACAGGTGCCCTTTGCTGGGGTTCGTCGGATCTCTGAACGTCTTCACGAAGCAGTCATTAAGGGAGAGGTTGTGGCGGATGGAATTTTTCCATCCTTTGGCAGGGCAATTCTCGCTGTAATACGAAAACTGCTTTTGAATGTGTTCGATGATGCCACTTAACGTTTGACGGCGATTGGGCGATTGTAAGATGGCCATAACTATCAGAGAGATGTACGAATATGGTGGCTTTCCCTTCTTCCTTTCTGCCAATTCCGCCGATTGGTCTAAATTATTTAATTTATCACCAAGCTTCGGTCTTATCTCCTTCAAAGCTTTCCTCGGGATGACGGGCTTTTCGTTAGACTCGTGGTTCATCTTTTGACCGAGATTAGCTCTCCCTATCGCTTTCAACTGAGCACAACGTTTTGAAATGGTTAAATAGAAGATGAATATAAAAGAACGCAGCAATCATTCTCCGTGTTAACCAAGCACCGGTAATCCGCGATTCGTTGCAACCACAATGAACGCTAATTTCAGTTTAATGAAAAAGTCAATAAAGTGTGAAGCCCTAAATTTGCCGCGACAGTTATTTCAAAGCGTTAAGTGAAACCATGAGAAAATAACGTTCTTACAGCACACTGTCCAATCGCACTGACACAGACAGTAGTTGATTAACAAATTACATTTAGACGAACATTTTAATATTTGTTCTTCACCTGCTATTAATTTCCTAGAGTCATCAGTCACTAATTTCCCTCACAATTTGAGAATAGTTTATCAAGCAATTACTTGCTGTCTTATCAGTATGAAAATTCAAATTCCTACAACTAGAATCAATAGAAATATATGGCAATTAATTGTGGAAATTTTTAGTTTGACTAACGGGGTTTTCAGTGCAATCGATAAAACGACCCAGACCAGACTAGAGAATACTTCAAACTTAAGACAATGAATTTTATTCTTATGGCGAAATCTGTACTCTTGCCATTGTTTTAAATTCAGGAAACGGAAAAAGGCGCATGATTGCATGGTTATCCAGCAGAGCATTCAAGCTCTGTCAGACTGTTAATTACTTTTATATTTACAATTTAAATGATGCCCCCTTAAGAGAGAGAATCAATCTTTTTGTCTTTTGAAACTTCCTTATACTTAACTTTTGAAGTAACAAATGCGGCGTTTGTAGAAAATTCATGCAAATGTCTCGGCTAATTATACGAGGTTTTTATTGTTTCTATAGTTCCAAATGAATTAAATAATTAAGATGTACGAGGGAAATTTATTAAACCATTTTTAACGAAGAATTCCTGGAACTACACCCGAAAAGTACTTTAAATCGAATTATTACCCAACATAGCTTACTTTATGTCTGTAAAATTTTATTTATATGTGTTGCAGATGAAATGCTATCTTCGCGATTCGGTATTATTTTGATATATCGACTTGACATATTTATTTTGAAACTCATTGCCTTAATTCAAAGGATATGTTTACACACCTTATGACAAGCGATTCCTTTTTTGCTGGCTGAAAGGAGATGTAATGCCAGACCAAGATACTTTGCTCTGAATCTATGTCTCGATTTTAATACATGTAACTGTGATTTAAACTATCTCTTCAAATTGAAATATAGCTCTATAAACGTCATGCTCAAGAAAAAAAAAACTTGATTTAACATGTCTACCAGATAAACAAGCGAATTCATTTGTTACCAGATGATTGTAGATACATCGCCCTTGAAGGATGCTTGATTTTACCAACTTCGATTAAAACTTATCTCTTCAAATTGAAGGATAGCATGATACACTAGATACTTGAAGGTTCATAATCATCGATTTTATTTGTCTATCAGACAAAGGCGGATTCATCCCTTTGCGAGAATCTGTTACGAATTTACGTTCAATATTTTGCTTCAGTCGCCACGCGCGATGTGCATTTTTTTTATGGCTTCCATTCATGGAAATAAAAAGTTGACGTTCATTTGTTGTCAACTGCCAGACTGTTACCCGCGCAGTTGTTTAAAAAACTATTGGTACTTAAAATAATTGGTTTTGATGAAAGCAATTGATGATAAAAGAATCGGCAGTACTTAATAAATCTTGTTTCATTTCCCCGATGATTTCAAAGAAACAGCCGTTATTCAAAGGGAAGACATTTCGCTAAGACTGAATGAATTATAAAACGCTGTTAAATTTGCCCTAACGTAAGAATTTTTCAGTTGTGATGTGCGCTATAATCCAGTTTCCTTTATATTACCAAAGGAAACCGGAATATTGTATTTTAAACTCAAATCGTAAAAATCCTACAGAGCAGTGCGTTCCTTGCAATGTACGCGTCGCTTTGACTCAATCAACAGTGTTTTGTTATAGCGGTTAACTTTGTAACAAAAGAAACCCTTTTGTTAAACGCAAACATTTTTATTAAAAGTTATAATAATTCTTGGGAAAACGTAAGCTGTGCACGGTGTATCACTTTTGTTATGTATGATTTGAATTAAATGAGAAATTAAAAGCGTAGAACCAGCAACGTTTTTGTTGTGCGGAGTAAATGAAAAATGAATTTTTGTTTTGCAAAAATTTTATTTACGTTACAAGTTACTTTTTAACGTAGTTTACGCTGGTAAGAAAGCTGATTATGGTTTATTACTTATGCAAACAGCTCACTTCTTTAGATATACAAAAGTATAGTGTAAGATAAACAGATGCTTTGGTCTCGAAGGGTTCTTTGTTCTAATCGTTTTAAGGTTCGAAGCGTTATCAATATTTCATCTGTTGCTGATTGTGCTTCTTAGAACTGTAACGTTTTTCATCAGCTATTTTTCAGTCCTTTCTGGAGTTCTTTGCTAGAGTTTTTCGCGTCCAAACGTTCAGACTACAGATGTAATGTTAAACTGATGATTAAAACTGCTCACGCATGTAGCAGCAAATCCGTGAAGGACAAAATATTCCGAGTTATTTTATTAGCTTTTATTTAGAAGTACAGTTGACTTATCTTTGTCGTGGGAAACTAATTGCACAACACTTCTGTTCTTTTGAAAACAATTTTATTTGAGTTTTCTAAACAAATGGAAATTTGTATTTATCTTAACTCAACTCCACACATCATGGTGCGTTTGGGACTAAGTTTGACCGGCGACTTACTAATCAAATACAACTGAGTTGTCGTTGATAACGAGATAAGAGGCAAAAAAAAAGGATCGGAAACTCAGAGGAACGTTCTCGACCACTGTTTATGAAAAGTAACTGCAAATAAATATTGCACAATTAGCTGCGATGTATGCCTTTGAAGAAACGTGAATTACCGATCAAAATAACAGGAAATTTTTATCATTATATCTGTTAAGAGACCTCTAAAGCGTGAATTAAACCTCAATGGAAAATAATTTTCGGATCTAGAGATATTTCCGATAAACAACTGTATACAAACTTCAATTTTGAGCTAGTAACACTTTCAAGGATATATTTCCCCCCTCAGAATTTCTACGTATTAGAGAATACTTCCTTAAACAGATTAAGTGTTATACTTTGCTCAAGGGTGGATCAATAATTATAATCTGCCTTTTTAAATCAGTAGCAAAATGAAAATAGTACATTTTATTTAACTTTGCTTAAATAATAAACGATGAGATGTAACTCAAAACTCGCTAACAATTATTGTCAAGAGAGAGACGTGTACACGGGTACATCCACATGTGATTAATGGAGTACAGAAACTATGGTGATTTTTACGAAAAGTGAGGGCGCTTAGGATGAAGTTCATATTCTATTGCAATCAAGTGTACCCTATGCATACACTCGTTGACCTGTTTCTGACCTACGAGGAGACATTTGCTCGCACAATTAAGTATTATCATTTGAAGTTGTTAAAGTCATACAGACAACTTGTTGAGAGACATTTCGCAAATTTAGTGTAGCTTGAACAAAGCCAGGACTCGCTGTCTTTCTCTCACTAAGACGAATATTTTACTAGGATCTTCAGTTCTCCACCATAAAGGTAGGCAGGCGGTTTTAGCCATTTTGAAGTCCCATAAGTGTGGCAGAAAGGACACCTCTCATTTGATGTTATTATATAGTTTAAGCAACAACAAAATGCAACTCCACTTCAGCGTAATGTTATCTTAGTCTGTTGTTACATGCTTTCCTCTCTTGATTTTCTTAGACCCGGCCATATATTCATGAAAGCCGATATACCCATTCTATTGCAAATAATTTCAAGAATTTAGTGGGAACACGTGCACGTGAGGCAAACAAAACTGTAACAATCGCCAATTAAACTGATATTGCTCTTTCGTTGTGAATTTATTGCTAATCGATCAGGCAGTGTTCCAAGATTTGCATTGTGATCCACAAAAATTCTCAGTAATGACTTAAAGAAAAATTGACGCATTAAGTAATGAGAATTGATATTTTTTATCTCAGATAAAACAGAACGTCGTGAACTGTCTTAATTTGTTTCCGTCGAAAACTGTGGGCTGCCTGTTGAAAAGGGTCTTCGCCAAAAATTTATTGCTATGAATGAAAGACGATAAGCTACATAAATATTCTCAGTTGAACCAAACTCTCTCAGTTCGTGGGTAGATATTCGGCAGGGTTGTTTTATTTATCCGAGAGGAACATAACTTTTCCGGAATACCATGATGATACGATCGAATATTCGAGATAGATGCGCATATAAATCAAATCCAAAACTGTTTTTCTGATACTGAGAATGATCCAGAAATTTTGTTTCGTGTAGTTTTTTTATTCCATGTGAGAGCATTTCATGTAATAAATCATTTACCGGCGGCGACTACAAAAGTTCTTAACCTTTCGCGCAAGTTTTGGTCTCTAAACAATTGAGTACAAGGCGTCTGTAAGTGCTTCGACTCCAAGCTTATAATTGCTTTAAGATTCTCCGTGTTCATTGATTTGTTAGTCAGGGTACAATGTACTTCGTGACATCTGATTGTAAAGCTTTTGACACAAAGCGAAATGATATTGGGCCATTTAGCAGTGGAGGAGTGTGACAAAATCTGTACAGTTTTTGTTGTTTTGAAATAAACCAAATTTGAAAGGTTTCTGTAGTTGATGGGTTTCAACTCCAGGAAAATTGTGCCAAAATAATTTTTTTCTGAGATTAACTGCTGAGCTTTCGGTGATCTTAAAGTTATTATTAGATTGAAGGAGGAGGAAAGAATAATAGTACTGATGATCTAACTTGGCACAAGAAATACTTTTTGCGCGCGACAACACACTTCTATCACTCAACGAGTGATAATTTTTCAATCCTTTGATCTACTTCATACCACAATGCTGTTTTTCTTACCAAAACGAACAGCGCCCATTCAAAAACATCTTTAAAAGGTAAACACTCCAGCTTAACAAGTAAACCATCTGAAATAATAAGATCGAACAATTCAATTCTTAAACGGTTTCTTTTGTGCGTCTTCCCTGAGGAGAAAAGTTATAAGTAAAGGTTATTTGTTTTGGTAGTTTACGGTTCTTTTTAGCGCCGTTGGGCTTAGACTAAAACAGTTCGTGTGAAAGCGACCAATTGTGTGCAGATGTTCACTGAGCATTTCCCACTACCCCTGCAGTGATTGCGTCGCCAAAAAGTTCTTCTTAAAACCGCCAGATCCTGAAAAGTATATATTTTCTTTTCGTGATGTTTCGACCAATTAACTAGGGCTTTTCACTAAAAAATTTTCTTCTCTAAACGAAGTGTTCAGTCTTCCTTCGAAAATTTCGAAAATCTAACTTGAAAACGGCATCTAAACAGGGAGATAAGAATTGTAAGCCGCGTTCGGCCCCAACTACCTCGAAGGGAGTTTGTTTTGGACTAATGCCCCTAAAACTTAATTAGCAATTTTGCGATTCCTATTTCGCTAATTTTGTGTAATATAAAAAACACAAATGTCGAGTATGAAACGCGTTTCGCACTGATCACTAAATAAGTATTCGTAATTGTCGCTTTGTAAGATTTCAATTTGTTTTTCGGTAGCTTTGAGCAATTGCAACGTGAATTGGCTGCTTTCACAAAACTGATAGCGATAACGCGGAGTGACTAATGACTTTTTTTGTTTACATTTAATGCTCGCCAAATGATAAATGGCTAAATTTTAGGCTTGGCTAACATCTGTAGCAGCATGAATTATTTCGTATTACAATAAGTTTTCATTACAAAAACTTAGCCACAGAGGAAAAATAACAAATAAATTGAAATGAGAAGGTAATTTGTTTTGGTGCGTGCAATACCGAGAGAATACCTACGTTTTTGAAAACAATAAACGTTCAAACTTCATCTTTTCTTGACTGGTTCAATTTATTTTGAAACCGTTCTTTCGAGGGCTTTAAGTATTGTTTCACAATCACTTTTTTATTTACACAATTCACTAAATTCTGAACGGTTGCACGGTTAAAATTACAGTTTATCTATTTCATTTACTTCAAATAGAAACTGGTTCTTCTGCAACGGTATTCGAAATTAAAAGACTGCTTTCGTTCATTTCGTCAACTCCCACGCCGTAGCTGATTTTATTCTGGAATTTTTTACTTGATTGCTTTGATAATATAGTGGGTTAGCCTCTCAAGAACAATCTACTTCACCATTCGTTTTCTTTGGGATATTCTACAGCAGTGAAACGTCAAAAATAAAATCTTAAGAAACAAGACGACTGTATCACAGGTTTTTATGATTCAAAAATTTTCCTCAATTATTTCATAAGGAAGTACTGTGATTTTCCTTTGATAAATTCTCGATCATAGTTGTTTCAACAATTTTCCTTTTACATTTCTTAATATAAACTTTCTCCTCAAAACTGATCATTAAACGATCAGAAATGACAGTCATATATGTAGAATAATAGACATTTCCCTTACCACATCTTTGGAGAGTAACTGAAATTATCCAGAAACACTACAGTGCCGCATAGTTCACTCAATCAGAGAATTGTTCTACCGTTTCCCAGCCATTTGGCTGCAGTATGTACAGTAGGAACTTGGTGATACAATGCAAGGTCTAACAGTGTTGCTGTAACTCGAACGCACGTTAGAACAACACGACAAGGAAGGGCTTACTTTGCTATTCGGCGGTCGGTGTTCTTCCGTCTCCGAGCCGATGATACTCGCGATGGAGAATTTTGCAGGTCTTTGCCTTTCTCTTGACACAGGCGGGTCTGTTGATCTGCCGAGAGCTGGCGGTAAACATGTCAGGTACCTTGGAACTGAGAAATGTGAGTACAGAGGCGGTCGCCAGCTTGAAGAGTCCATGCAATTCCAGTAGTACTGAAACCCAAAGGCGCTGACGGCTCCCTCAGGTGGCCGCGGTCTCTTAAATCTTTTCCTCCTCCTCAGAAAACTGCCGTTATCGAACATTCCCTCGCTGGCAGGATCCAATGTCCAGTAGTTTCCTTTGCCAGGATTTCCCGGTTCGCGCGGCATTTTCATGAAACAATCGTTCAGAGAGAGGTTATGCCTTATGGAATTTTGCCACGAGGGGAACTTTTCGCGGTAATACGGAAAACGGCGCTTGATGAAGTCGCAGATTTCACTTAGGGTGAGTTTTCTTTGCGGTGATTGCAGAATAGCCATTGTGATCAGAGCGATGTAGGAGTAGGGTGGTTTGGACATAGACGATTGTCTTCGGTTTTCACTGGTAGAGCTTTGCTGTCTTAAACTTGAATCGTTTTTTTCTTGACCTTCGTCTTCATCTTCGTCCGGTTCTCTCTCCGTGAGGATTTCATTGTGTTCATCGTCGCTTTTGGCAGTTTTAAAACTTTGATCTGCCAACATCTCCTCGTCATCGTGTTTAAAATTCTCTTGGAAAGCCATTGAAGTGTTTATTGGTGCACGGACGCACGCTTGCACGCACGGCCAAACGGAGTTTGCTGCACGGAGTGAACTGAATCCTTGGAAGGTGGCGAAGATGTGTTTTCAGTCGGCAAAAGTTGTTTGAATAAGTCAACGTACACCGGGACCACCCACCTGTGCTATAACCACTTATAACAACTACCCTCCCTGGGGCTATCGGAGATTTATTCACACATTAGCATCAAAAAGGTTTACTCTCCCATATCCTATCCAATAATTACCTCATTAAGGTGGTGTTCTTTGTAATTAGGCCGTATAAAAACTTTTCCTTTGGTCTGTACACTTAAACAGGAACAAAACGACACTGTTTATTGCACGGATTGTGTAGTGATTGTAAAAAGAAGCTCTGCTGTTTCGCTACGCTGAAAAAATGTGGAATTTAGATCTTCGAAAGTTTATTGTTTTCACCCGAAATACCTCTCCCACGTGTTTAGAATTCTACCCTCAGTGTCAAATTAAGGCAAACAAATTTTATAAGGTGAGCCTAAATCTATTTCAAATTATTCGCAGATGTCTCCCATTTGAGTACAATATCAGATAAGGCTTTGAAAGGTAAGTTAAAAGCCATAACGTCACGTAGAGATGGACGGAAATTAGCTGCGAAACCGTGAAGGCAATTTGAATAGCACAATTAATAAGGGAAAAGATTGTAACCATTTGTTAAACAGCGCTATCAATTCATGTTTGATTTTCATTTTGCTAAGAGCAGTTTGTTTACAATACACTTCTGAGATAAAATGGTTTTATTATGTCTTTCCTAAGGTAAATAAACATCCAAGTCATCTGCATGAAATTATCTCCTAGTGAAAATAGATTTCTAGACGACGAAAAAAACAGATATTTCATGAAATTTTCTTTTCTGAGTTGAACTCGAAGAGAGAGAGAGTTTTCTGTGCAAGTTGGTAACGAAATAAGTGAGTTTTTCACTGCAGGACTATGACCATCTTTGCGGCATATTACAAGCACATCTATCGAAGTTGTGATCGTTTGAGAGAGGGTTTAATCCTAAGTTAACCATTTGCAAACACAAAACACGATAACACCAAACGGCGCCGCGGAAACATCATCTTACGTTTTCACCCCACAAAGATATCGATTAAAACATCTTCTGAATTATAACATGGTTTTGTGTTTTCTTTTCCTCGAGGGCCATCTTTTTTTCTAATTCACCAAAAATAACTATTTATGGAAGGAAACCCTCTTTACTAATCTTTAATGTAAAAAACGAGTCGTTGTAAAACAACTTTTGATTTAACATGGTCAAGGGAATTTTTGCATTTGTATACCAAGGAATAAGAGGTTACACTGAATCAAAAGATAAAAAATTTGGTTGTAAACTACCCGTTCCTTGAATTTTTTCAAGGCATTCTAGGGGAGAGTCGTATGAAATGCAATTCAGCAAACGATTGTTTTAACCTGAAATTTATATAGTTCAAAATTTAAGGAAAACGATACGTTAAAAGGGTTTGTGTTAAGCGCAATGATCGTGTCGACAGATTTACAAAGTCTTGTTGTTTAGAAATTGACTGAATATGCCCGCCAAAAAAAAGAGAAAAAGTTAATAAAGAAGCCTCTCTGTAGAATGGGTATTACCTGAATTTCTCATTTACTTTTAATGCAAACTTCAAGGGTTTCTCGGTCGATCATATAAACACTATTAAATACACCACTTATTCTCCTTCGCAAAAAACGACTATCAATTGCTTTACCATATTTTAAAGAGTATTGTAATTTTCTGTCTTCCTTTTTATTCTTTTTTGAAAATGAGACGGGTATTCAATTTCAGGTAAAAGAAACGGAACTTAATTGATAAATTTAGCTGTTTTGCCTCCACTCTAGTTACCAATATCATTTGGTTAAAATTGAAAACTACCCGTGTTCCGTATCTAATCCTGATATATTGTTTTTCATTCTCAAATTCTGTTGTTTTGGCCTCAAATCCTTCGAGCGTGTTGGCTTATTAAACAAATAAAAACTCTCTATTTGCCCTTGATTACACTAAATGAAAATTAGGACTTGACACCGCTCGCAGTTCAGCGAGAATCGATTTGAAAATTAATTAACTCTTTCTTTTTTTGTTGCAAGTGAAACCAGCCATTGAGCGCGAACAGTTTCGAGTCAATCTCGTGAAATCAATAAACTCTATCTCTGACAGTTTGAACAGTTCATGTTTGCACGGCCACTTCACAATTATTAATTTCTCAAACTCAGTGATTACAGAAGCCATAATTCTTGCATGATTTAATTTCCTTTCATGCTATCCGAAATATACAAACAATTGTCAAACAGGGATGAATATGTGAAAATTGCTAAGAGTAGTTTTTGTATTGATCGAAAACTGAGATAAACCGGATCTTCTACCTTGGTATATGTTTACGATAGATTTGTAAAGAATATGATATAATTTTCTTGCGTTCGATCTTAATCCTTCCTCCAGGCTATGCCTTTGTTCTGGCGCCGTTTCGTTGTTGTTAAATGTTGTAGTCTCTAAGGCAAAGCTAATTCAAGTAAAATTAATATGACGAGTGAGAAATTATCCTCCATAAAAGTCGTAATTTTGTTATATTCTTTGTTGATAAGCCATGTCGACAAAGACCCCAAACACCTGTATCTAATGTATGCTAATCGAAATATGTTTCATTTCCACTTTTCTTCTTTCATTAAAAGTTATCAAGGGCAGAATAAAAGCTTTAACAATTCATCACTCCCTGTCGTCTTCCGCGAGCTTTGGGGGGAATCTATTATTTTCCTTTCCAACACAGGAAATTACGGGCGATTTGGTTAGCTAAAGAAAACGCGATGCGTAAACTTGATTCAGCAAGATGTGCATCGTAAAATGTCGATTGCGACACATTTTCAATGGCTTTTTGAGTGTTTTTCTGTCAACTGAAAAGACTATTATCGCAGTCTAGATAAGTGACTAAATTTCACGTAATAAAATGATCAAACAGAATAGACACCACACTTCAAGGCTAATTCAGTATTGTTGTATTGTAAATCGCAGAAAAACTAGACGAGTTTAAAAAGCGTCAATGAACATTCAGAGCTTAAAACTAAGAATTGCGCGGAGGTGTTTGGGTTTTTTGTGCATACTTCCCTCCAGGTTTATCTTGTTGGGCGATATCGTTTTCGGTGTTTTTCATATACACACGTACTTAAGTAATTAAACTAGCCGGGGAGGAGTTGAGCGAACAATATTCAGCTGGTTTGCTAATTAAGGCCATTCAAGGCTCTAAATGGGGTTTCTAAGTTGAAAAAATGTCTTGATTATAAATCAAGAATCTGTTAATTTGTAAACGCACGTACACGCAATTTGCGAAACAGATTTCTTAGATAATTTGAGTCTTCTCGATTACAGAATAGGGTTTTTCAAATCTGATGAATTCCAATTTGATTTTTCCTCGAAAATTTAATTTTTTTCACATTATTATGTCTGAAATGATTGTTTTTACATGAGGATCACGGATTGAAAAATGTAGCGAAACCATTCGTATATCGTGTCTTAGTTTAGACGCCATTCTTCGATAAAAAATGGAATTTTTTGTCAGAGATATTGTATCTGTTCGAGAGATGAACACAAAAGCACGAAATTTAGTGGAATCGAGTTGATATTGCTTTGAGAGCGTTTTTGTTTTTTATCAGAATCTCTTTTGTGAGATAGAATGTTCGAGTACGCTGTGGGGAATTTTTACGAAGCCAGCTTTTATAAAAGTCTTTATTGACTTTGTCAATAGCCGGTAAAGAACTAGTATGATATCAACGCCCTCCAGACAATTCGTGATCAAAATCACGATAAGTTTCAGCGTTGTCGAGGTTAAAAAGAGGCATATGAATCAAATGAAAGAAATTCGTGACCAAAGGAGCAGTACACGAAAAATCACGAAAGTTTAGACATGGTCTTCGTCAAACATTATATACCCATAGTAAAATACCTCAGTAACTTAGCGTGGTGTTGCGACCTACATTAGAAACATGAAATTACTTTGATATTTTCTGCTTTTTAATTCAACCATAGTTTTTCCTGAAATTACTACTGAAATACTGAAATGACATTTATTTTCCAAGTATTTATTTTTTTCGGGATCGAATAGGCGAAATATGTAGAATTTAGTCTGTTTTTGGTTCTCTTCTTTCGCACAATGTCTTCCGAAAAGTGAATTTAAAGTTCACCCAAACTTCCGTTTGGCTTTGTGGGGCCCTCTGTCTTCCTTTAAAATGATATTGTCTGCTCGTAAAAGTTCTATCTCAAAATAAAAGAAAGATAGTTAAAAATCATTACCCACGGCAGATGAAAGAAATGAAAAAAAATCACAAATCTCCTCCTTCGCTAATCAGTTGGGCATGGCAGTCACAGATGTAGTTTAACTAAAATGTAGCCGGTTTGTATGCGTGATGGAGGGCCGTTTTCGTTTTCAAAGCTGTCGGCTTTTCTTATTTCCTTTTTACTCTGCTGAATACAGGAAGGAGTTTTCTAAATGCATTTTGTCAGAAGGGAATGGCCATGAAAGGAAACAATACGACTCTTTATTATATTATCAATATCAGAAAGCAACCGCAACGTCATAGTTAATGTCGCTGGTGCGTTTTAAGAGGTATCTAAATGAACGCGTTTAATTGATGTTAGGTCGAATGGAAGGTGACTTCACAACGCCGCGTTATGGCAATTAATGTTTTAATACTCGGCTTAATCACTCTTAGAACCACAAACCAATGCACGTGTGTTGTTTTATATTTGCGCAAAATGTTTATCAGATAAACGGTTGAGGGCGAAAAAAAAATCGCCTTTGATTTATTAACGTGATTGTCATGGTAGACCTCGGCTAATCCAATTTTATGCAGACTGTTTCAGGTTCCGCGTTTTGTGCGTGTCTCAGTGAGTATCTGTGCCTAACCGCATGCTTTGCACATGCTTCGTGTATATAGTGTCAATCACTGTTATAGGATACCTATCTAAAACACAGCCTTCCGTCATTCGTTGGCTTATAAAACCTGGGGTTGATACCAAAATGATACTGAACCTCACGTATATTAGTATCGTTCGAGTTGTTCTAAAAAACAAGTGCGAATAGTGACGGTGTCGATGTAAAATGTGTTTAGACTGGTCCGCAGTGTATATCAGAGAGGTTTTTAATTTGTAACAGTGGTCAACACTAATCTCCCTGATATTTCCGATGAAACTTGCCCGAGGCAAAGTTCATGTATTTTGTATCACCGCAAGATCTGTTTTGTCCAGTACCGAACGCTCTTGGATTGCTTTTCCATCGTGACACTGGTAAGTGACTTGAGGGAGTCCTAGGGACGAGACAGAATTGCGTATGATCAAGCATGGCCTAAAGGCCCCTCGTTATTAGGTCACGTGAGCGAAGTAACTTTAAGATAACTTTCCTATTACCCTTTCATTTCTAATATGTGTGTGTTGATTCTCCTTCAACGCATGCTTCTATTCTTTCTAATTCTGAGAATTTTGGTCGTTTCAAAACAGTCTCGGTTGATGGTTTATTTTGTTCTCTCACTTGTCTTCGTGTACAGTGAAATGGTCTTATCACAGTCCAGAGTTAAAAGATACTGAAGGTGATTTCTCAGTATTACACTGCGCATCGTGTACTGCGCTTAAAAATCACGTAATCAGATGAATAAGCGCGCGCGCCGAGAACACGGTATTTTTTTTCAGTAAATAGACCACAGGTAAAGAGGTAAGACTCTCTTTGGCCCGTGAAGGAGCACGGTGACCTATATTTTTTATTGCATAACCTTTGTGTGCAAATTAACTCCTTTTAAAATGGAGAAATTAAAAAAAAATGTATTGAAGTGAAAAAACGATATAGCTCAAAGCGTGCACGAAGCCCTTTCCTCTGATGGAGCAAATTATGACCTTGAAGGCAACGACTCACGGAACGTTTTGAGTCAATTTCGTCTAAAATTGCGTCTTTTTTCCACAAATTATATATCAAACTGTTCCATACGCTCGAGAATTTCTACCTATCAAGTTTTTTTTTTAAAGTATTGCTTTACAAACCCTTGTTTCCAACTACCTCAAAATGTACCGTGAAGCGGTGAAATGACGCGCGTGATTAGCACAGGCTTAAATGGAGTATGTTTGGTTCATCATATCTTTTAAACAAGCACAGTGACCTATCTTTTTTTTAATTTATCGTTCAAAAAGACGTTTGAAAGGAATATTTAGGGAAAGTTTAAAAAGAAATGGGTTTCACTATTTTTTTCCGTGATAGGAATCACTTAAAGTTCTACCAGTATTCTTTTTGAACGGTGTGATTTTAAGAGTTCATTTAAACGGAGTGAGACTAAGCTGTCCTCACTAAGAACAAAACGCAACAAATTCACCTCAGGGAAATTGCCGCATGATTGTTGTTGCGGAGAGAAAAGAAATTGTCAGTTCGTTGCCGCTCTCAATAAGCAACAAACCTTCCTTGGGCATTAAAAGAAACTGGTTTTCAAGACTATTTTTTTCAACAGTTGTGTCAGAAAGCGTTTATGAATTTCTTTTCTTCAACTTTTTTTAAAGTGCAATGGACAATTTATAGGAGTTTTGTTATACTTGGACTGTTGTTGTTGTTGTTGTTATTTCTTTCAAGAGATGTCTTTTCCAAGTTCAACAGTTCACCCTAACAACCAGAAGTGACCTCCGTGTAACTTCTCCCTATTATACCCAATCAAACATTGTTCTGCACACAGGTAATGAGAATACCTCATCTTATCAGGTAGGAGTTGTTATTTTGATCTGACACGGAATTTTCACAACGAATTTACAAGGAAACATGTAGCAGCTAGAGGGCAGAGTAAATAATCAGATCTTGGGATTTAATATTTTAAGATAGGTTTTGTATATTTGTGCTTTATTTACTATAACCATTGTATTCCGTAAAAGCAAATTTCAATTTCAATTTTTCTCATAAAGAGCGGCATTGTAATTTTTAGCCAGCTTCAAAGTTTTGATTCTTGAAAGTCTGTACCCAGGCTCTCTCCGAGAAAAAGTCTGGTATCCCCGCCACACATTTCTGAAGAAGCGTGGTTGCACATTTCTGTGGTGGTGCAGTTAACACAGCGGTCAAACACTGCGCATGCACGAAAGTTTGAAAACAACAAAAAGGATTTCCGAACGTGTGTCCAGCGTAAAGTGAGGGAAAGAAGATTAAATTCCTAACTATTCCAATACGTAACACAAATGAAAAAAGGATTTTGGAGAAAAACTAAATCCTGGCCCTATTTTATTGTGAGATATCCCAACTGTTTTCAAAGCAAACGCTTTGTTTCGGTGATAAAGGAAAATGACAGAACCTTTCTTCTACCTTTACTGCACAGTCTACTGTCCGCGACAAACACAGACCGTCACAAATATCTTGTGTGGTTCTGGTTCTTCTGTTTTTCACACATTTGCTTCGGTGTTTACCGGCAACTCCACCATGAACACAACACAGAGTAACTTCAGCCAGCACAACCAAGTTTACGGACGACTTTATTACGCCGCCGTGCAAAGTATAAAAAAATAGAACGAGAATGTAAACTACCACATTGTGGGTAAAGTTCAAAACAACAATCTGTACAAGTTTTACCGCAAAACTACCAAAAACTACGTCTTACGTTGATTCTACTTGCTTACTATAGCAAATTATCCATCATAGTGCGCATGTGCAACCATTGACTCCTATGTGGGTGCAGTTGTACATTTGTTTTATCATTTTGTTTTGAAATCGCTGTTCACATGAAGCGAGCAAAATCGATTGTTCTCGAACAAAAGTTGTGGTAGGAGATATTGCCACGGCGACGATTATATACTTTTATTACCGTACGCGACAGATTGTCGTTCGATTTCAACTAGCATACGGTTGAATTCTCAGATGATTGGCTCGGATAAGAAAGTTATCGATACCTTTAAATTGTTTTATTTGACCTGTTTTGATCCGATTTGGGCTTATCGAGATAATACGACGAAATCTAGGCCGATTATGACCCCTATTTTTAAGAAGCTTGTTAGGATTTACTAGTAGATACTGATTAAGTTTTACTTGAACAAACGTTTCTCCCAAAGCTCTACAAAAATGATGAACTGACTTAGACGAAATTTATAATTCCCTCGAGTGTAAATATACATTTTCCATCCATCTGCGTAAAGTTAGAATTAATAGCACCAGTGTTAATTTCCCACAGTTGGGCGAATTAGTGTGATCCTCTAATTTCTTCATACAAAGCAAAAACTTGAATTTTCAGTGTAAAACATCAGTCGCTGTATAATAAATTTTCTTCTGTTCCGTCAACTCCGTAATCTCCTGAGAGCATATTTAAGCCCAAAAAATTCTGTAAAAAAGACCATTTAATTTCATGATTATTTTATCTTAAAGGACCTTAAAACCACTTTTCGTGGAGTTATTAGGAAAAAACCCTATAGATTTGTTTATGATAGCAGGTGACTGAATGTCGAACTTTAGTACGCTTGTGAGATAATGAACCGATACTGAGATTTGGTAAACTTGAATGGACACAGTGAACCACACAATTTGTCTGTCTTTGGGAAAACGCCAACTCGCTAGAGACAAAGGTTCTACGTGTAAAACGGAACACAACCGCATGACCTCGAGTCTTGATGAAGCAGTATTAAGGTTATTCGAGTCGATAGAGCATAGTAAACGGAGTAAGGGGGGTGAGTTTCTAAGGTACTGTGGTGCTACATCGGTTGGGCTAAGGTTGTATTGCACGATAATTTATTTGTATCTTGTTAATGTAAATTGTCCACTGTAAAGAGTTTCTAAAGCTGACGTTGCGAGCGTTAGTCCTTCGTCGGAACATACCAAGAATTTGTAGGTTGTTTCATTTTAGAATTTCAGGAACAGAGCCGATCAACATTTTCCATTCCTTCGAAGTATCCACAAACTACCTTATTTTCGCACATCTTCTCATTTTCTAGCTCGCTTCTGCGTTCTTCCATGTAAATACAGTGACTGAGCTATCAGTCCGAGTCTTACAAGCGGAATGGCATAAAAACAGTTATGCCTCACTGTAACTTCCTTAGACAAGACCGCTAGGCAAGCTGGGATAACCCTACAGCTGCAGAGCTCATTTACGACCGACATAAAAATCGGCTTTCCCTCTGATTCAGATCGTCTTTTTCATTCTTTCGAGTTCATCATCCTGTTCCTCGCTACGAACTGTTTCATTATCAGAATCCAGCTCCTCAGATGTTTCGTACTCGTCATCTGATAGAAGTTCGCCATCTGCTGATTCATATGGCAAATTTTCATCCGGCGACACGTGCTCATTAAGAAGTCCCAGGCCCTCGCATTCAACCAAGACAGTCTTCGGTGTCTTTGAACTGATTTTAAACTCCACCTACAGAAAAGAGAACATCGGTTGGTTCTTTTTTGATTCGTTATACGTTGAACACTGACTCAGATCAAACTATCAAACTATCGTCCAGCAAGTATCGAGTTCGGGCGAGAATTTTATTGTGGAACAAATTTTGACTCAGGGTAGTATTCTTGGGCATTAATTTAGCCTAAGAAATTTGCAGTCAAACATTTGGATGAGGGGGAAGTAGAGACAATTAATTGTCACTAAACAAAGCTTTGTGTTGATTTCACAGTTTAGGTCGTTAGGATCAATTTCTTTTACGTCTTTTTCGAAGGCATGGATGTTATATTTTCATGTATCTGGGCAGCCTTTGCTTTAATTAATGTCTTTTTCTAGCACAATGAAACGAGTAGCAGATCTCTATTACGGTATTATAGTTGAGGTTAGAGCAAGAAAAGAATACTTCACTCGAGAGTTCGACACACTATTAGATTCTATTGGTTTTGGCTCAGTACGTTCTGCGATTGGTCAAAAACACTCGCGCCACCTTAATAATCAATCACCGTCTTAGTTAGGTGCAGTTTCTCGCGCTTCAAGCCAATTACGATTATCTCCTATGAGACTCAATTGGCTCATTATTTCCTTCATTCTGATTGGCCACGGTGATTAATTTGGTTTCGGTTTTTGGACGATAAATCAAAGGCGCTCTAAGACGCATACCACTTAGCACACAAACCTCTGTAAACGTCTCCACAGCCAGCATCGTAGCTTTAGCTCGATTGGTGAGCCGCTGCATCCGTATGGACGACCTTCCGCAGGCCACTGCCATCAGTAAAATAGCCTGAAAACAGAGAGAAACTCACCAACAAAGTTGCGTGAAAAAAACCAGAAACACAAAAATTCTTGGAACTTTTTATTCCATATTTGTACAAAAACTTCTGGCAGAGACGCCTACCTGTTCCAAATAACTTCCATATCTAAGCGTGTATATATCGAGGAAAAGATAAGGTCCTTCTCCTGTTCAGCAGTAAGAGTATGACTTCTTTTCGTCAACGTGAAACTTATATTTTTTAGCTCGTCAGATACCAAATATATTTTTATGACATCTTGACGCTCCTCCTAAATTGTGTGTATTTTTGCTATTTAATATAAACCGTACACAGGATACCCACATTGTGTTATGGTGAAAATAACTTACATGCTCCTGTAACAGCCTATCGATGCACGAACCGCTGTTCACATTATTCACCAGCATCTGAACAGCTTTAGAAACAACTTCCACTGGAGCCATTCCTACCATTACGAAAAACATCAAATTATTACAATTGCAAAAAATAGGACGTACAACATATTATTCATAATACATTATGTGCAAAACATCCGTGGTTACGGAATGGGTGGATACCAAACTAACAACGCTTCACTTTGATTTTAGAAAAAACAACGCATTGAGAGTCGTTACTCAGACATAATCCAGTTTTGACCATATGATCGTTTGCTATGTAGTCAAAGTCTTTAAGGCGCTTGAGTGATAAAGATTTCTAAACTTTGTTGACTATTTAAAGTCCGTAAGTCTCATCTTTTAAGTGATTGTTTCTTCTGGCGACACGACTCAGGATTTCGGGCGACATGACTCCAGTTTCAGGTGATATGTCTTCGGGCGAGATGACTTTCGGGCGAATTCAGGCCAGCACGTTACAATTTGCTTGCCTCTATCCATGTTTGTATGAACAAACATCTCATTTACTGTAACAAAACCTTCATGTCCAGTTTGTCGAGGGAAACCTTATGTAATTATGCAAGTTCTTATCTCATATTTGATATCGAATAACTAACCTTTTTCCCATATGGCAGTCCCCGACAGCAAAACGCCAGATGACATTTTTGCAATTAGCCTGGGATAAAGGAAAACACTTGATATGACAATTTTTTTTTGGTTTAGCAGGTAATAAACGTATCTCACATGTACATGGAACAAGTGCATCTTCATAAATTGATTTTTTAACTTAAGGAAAAAGTGAACTCTGAAAACCAGGACACTTTTTTCGCCATTGTCAGCGAGTATGACAATTACATGTACAATAGTAAAACACTGAGCATAATTATTTTCAGCTGTGCCAGAACTTCCTGACGGTGAAATTTGTCCTAAGTTTCAATGTAAAACAAGATTTGTGACAGCAGATCTGACGCACAAAAATTTGTTAGTCGATTCACTTTCGACTTACATCAGCCCCTGCCCTGTCCCTTCACTTCTACAGTCTCTGTCTCGTCTGCTATCGATATCCAGCGGGACTTGTGGGAATTGAGTCTTCAACATCTGATGCGCCTGCTTCGCCATAACCTGAGCAATCTGAAACATTTTTGATATTTGAAAATTACTATAACAGCTGATACACAAATGAACGTGTATTGATTTCATCAAGCAGTTAACCCTTTGACTCCCAGGAGTGATTAACATGAACCTTCTTCCTGTGATATCCACACATTATCCAACAAAGGGCTAATGAAAACACCCAAACTTATCAGGTGCAAGTTGTTCTCTTGATCTAATACCAAATTCGCCTAACTTATTTGCCAGGAATTGTGTAAAAGCTGGAGGAGAGAATTAACAATCAGATCTTCAGTTAAAGGGTTAAAAAATCATTGTGGAAAAGATTGCCATATTCTAACTGAGTCTTTTTTCAATGTAACTACAAAACAGAGAATTTTTTTTCTTCAACCCTGTGCCTTTTCTTATGTCATAGTTCCACCCAAATTCCTGTGCACTGATCACTGATCTATAGTTTGCACTCATTCAGAGTAGAGGATTATGTACCACATGTGCGTGACACGCGTGACAATGAGATTGTGTTACATCATATCGCCATCTTGGATGCCCATACTGTCATGGGTATGATTGGTTCATTTGTACCACATGGTATATAATCCTCCTCTCTGATTGGCTGTGTATCATAGTGCCCCCTATTACTACTGACCAGGACTGAAATAAATTTTAGAAGTACATGTAAGAGCCAGAGTTAATGTATTTATGATCATGTTGAACATACCCTGACAGGCTTTGCTCCAGCAACAAATGCCCAACCTGTGATTTCCCTCACAGTGCCACTTTCTTTCATTACAACAGGAGTCAGACAGTGAACTGGGAGACTCTCTACACATATTTTACCCTCCCAGTATGGATGATAACTCCTACAAGGCAAAAACAAACACTTATTATACACTTTAACCCTTTAATTCCCAAGATCTCATTAGTAATTTTCCTTACTGTCTGCCATATAGCTCTCACGATGTTAGTTTGAAGAATTTGGCATTGGATCGACTAATAATCCCCTAATTAATATTTTTCTTTATTCTCATCACTTGCTTGATATTGTAAGGAAAAATTCTGTCATGGTCACTCATGGGAGTTAAAGGTTAAGGCCTAGATTTACTGGTTGATAAGCTGCAGCAAAGATGCTAAGGATAAGTTGCAATGAAAATATTCACCTCTTTGGACATGAAAGATTTTGTGAAAATCTTTTTCACAGTAGCATAATTTTGCCAGTGCCATGCTAGGCACAAAAAAACTACCATATGTACGTGTACTCTGAGTTTCAGGGAATAATTAAAGCACATCTACTGTGGATGACTTTCAAAACATGGATTTTTCAGGGATTTGGAAAAAAACCATGCTCATACAGTCAATGTAAATCTAAATTGAGTTTTTTGAGTGATCTCTTTTCAAACAAAAACAAAAGACATTCATGATAAAATTTCATGCATGTGCTTGAGTCATCTTGTTATGCTCAGTAAGACCTGTTGATGTGCATGTGTAGGTACATTGTGGAAAACATGAGCAAAAATCAATCACAGTCAAAGGAAATTTAGAATGCACCATACGCAATGCCAGACATTGGCTCCAAATTTCAAATAGGAAAAGCTGAGAAGTCAAATGCAAAAACTTCCAAAATATCTTTCCTGATCTTAAACATGTAGTTCAGTTACAATGTAGAACAAATGTTATAGAGCTGAACTTTCTATAAATAATAAAAGAGCATTGAAATACCTTTTACGAATGTCAAAGTTAAAGTCAAATCCAAACTTGCCAACCAACGGCTTCATAACCTGAAGAGATAAAATCAAAAACCAAAAATCAAAAATCAAAAACCAAAAATCAAAAATCAAAAATTTATGAACTTGTATAAACCCTTTGACTCCTAAAGTGACTAACATGTAATTTCTCCTAACAGTCTCACCTCTGAATCAAACATTAAGGTTAAGTGAATAAAGGCAATGGTCACCAACTAATGAGGCTCTTGATTGTGAGACAAGTTCTCCTTGTCAACACCTTGGGAAATGTATGGAGAACAGTATGGAGAAGATGCATGCTGATGTTAGGGTGTAAAGGGTTAGAGAAGTTGTAGTGCACATACTACACAAGGATGAAACTGGCATACCAATGTGATTTACAAAATATGGTAAAATACTTCTCCAATAAATCGAATTGCTTGTTTGTTCTTAAATCATGGTGATATAAACGAGTGCTGATAAACCTCAAAGCACTTGGTTACATTTTGCTCTGCAGTTTTTTAATTCGCTGTGTTTTCAATACATTCCCAGAAATAAGAGATTAACGTCTGGGAAATTTCTATCTGTCTGAATTTTACTTCTTTGACTAGAAATGATGAAAAACCTGATTTTCTTAACTTAAAAATGGTTACATATTCAAGTAAAAACGGTACATCTACTCACATTTTGGATGTAGTCTGCATTAATGACTGCCTTGTAGGAATGGGTTGAACCTTTTATGTGAAGTCTGTTAAATCTTGTGTATTCAGGAATTGGTAAAAATGGGCAGCATGGAAGGGCTGATGTGACCAACAGGTTTAAGTGACTGAAAAAAAGGAATTAAAAAAGGAATTTAAAAAAGTGATGGTTATAAACATGTACAGTAGCTTTGCTTAAAAAAAAGCCTTTGTAATCAAAGGGAAACTGTGAGATTCAAGGATCTGCCAAAACAAATCAACCAAAGTGGTAAGTGTTTTGCTGATAATTATTACTAACAGTAACATTATAGAATATGCAAACAAGAATTCGACCCTTCCTAAAATGAAAACCTTGAAGAAGGGCAGATACATTGTATATCTCAACTTGGAATGATGTCCTTTTTAATGAGAGTACAAACTGTAGGTGGCAAGAAAGTGACTGAAGTATTCATGCATGGATCACAGTTATGACATGGATCTTTGACAAAGAATTGTCCATTTAAGCTTGACAAATTTCCTTTACAAGCATTTCAATGCATCTAATGTTGAATGACATCCCCCAAGAAGGGCGCATAACATTGCATTGTCAATAACAATCAATTTCCAGTGATTTTTCGACAGAACACCCAAATTGGAGTGGCAAAGTAGTGCAGATACATTGTATATCTCAACTTGGAATGATGTCCTTTTTAATGAGAGTACAAACTGTAGGTGGCAAGAAAGTGACTGAAGTATTCATGCATGGATCACAGTTATGACATGGATCTTTGACAAAGAATTGTCCATTTAAGCTTGACAAATTTCCTTTACAAGCATTTCAATGCATCTAATGTTGAATGACATCCCCCAAGAAGGGCGCATAACATTGCATTGTCAATAACAATCAATTTCCAGTGATTTTTCGACAGAACACCCAAATTGGAGTGGCAAAGTAGTGTGATTACAATAAAGTTTATCTTGCTGCCAAAAACAAGAATGAAAGACAAACCACAAAAAAGTATATTTTTCTTTCTTTAAATCCTGTTGCACAAAAGAAATAATCCCAGTTCCTTAATGTACAGTGTAAATCCAATGCACTGGACATGTATTTGTAGCCACAACTGTCACTCTCTAGCCTAATTTTTTTCATTTTTTTGTCATCTTGCTGACAGAAACAAGATAGAAAAACAAACTGCAAATAAACAAAAAAGAAAGATACAGTATGGTGAGGGAAAACTCTAACTTCATTTGTCTGGTCTAACACTGTTAACATACCCCAGTCGTCCAGCCTCTGCTGAGAAATTCCCTCCAATTAGCTCGCTAGGGACATTAGTTACCATAGACAGTCCTGTATTAGCTGCAAGTGTCCCACTGGAGATTTGCCGCAGCAGCTGTAACACTCTCATGTCATGTGACTGTAGTCCACCATCTGATACTGACACATTCATCAGTCGTACTGGTGTGCAGGTTATTGTGCTTAAAGTTGCAATTGTGCTGAGAAACACTTGACTCTGTTATGACAAAAATATTTCATCAACCTTTATTTTCTCCAAGTGATTAAAATGTAACATCTCCAAAATAAGAAACCATTTTTCTAAATTCTATTATGTAACACCACCTCAAAATTTCAATAGATTATCCAGTTAACCTTTAAACTCCTGTAAGTGACTAAGACAGAATTTCTCTTTAATATACAATATCATGCAGGCAAGTGAGAAAATAAAGAAAAATATCAATTTCAGGATTACTAATTGATCCGATAACAAATTCTCTAAACTAACATAATGATAATTATTTGGCAGACAGTAAGGAGAATTACTAATGAGATCTTGGGAGTTAAAGGATTAAAAGACAAGGAGAGTAGACATTCAATTGCAGGATGGTTAGAGGGCATGTATAGTATTGCTCAAAAGTAAGTCGACAGTCCCTCAAAACTCAATTTTGATTCTTGACCTTGGACCCTCTCAAAACAAGAAAATAAAGGCATTTTTGTCACATTAATTTTGCAATTTTCAAACCAATCAATTGTGCTGCATTGTGCTGCACCACTAGACAAAAAATATCAGCCATCACACAAAGAATTTAAGAACTCACTGTTTCTTGTAAGATACAGGATTCAGTATTACAGGAAAATATAAGAAAAATACATTTAGTTTATAAGAGTGTATGTATGTACAGCCTATGGGTAAAGTAAATATTACAATGAATAAAGTGGTAAGTTTCTAAAGAAACTGTGGCACTGCCTTGGTGGGAGTGTATAACATGATAATTTAAATTGCTCACCTTTATAAAGAGTTTCAAAGAGTTTCAGAGTGAATGACAAAGAGCTAATGTTTGAAATGTCAGCTTTTAAACTCTTAATGATGGCCAATTTATTTTATCAACTCAGTTGATGATACTATATTACCCTGTCAAATATTACAATGTCCTGCACTAAGTACCTGTTTAATTCCTCGCATATCTATTTCCAACATTTCATCAGTCAGCCGCAAAACCTTCTCTCCGCTTTCCTTCTTCTTTGCACCTCTCATAGTGAAGTACGTTCCAATCTCCTTGTCATAATCTCTCCTAGATGTTAAGTTACGTAAAACATTGTATGCATTTGTGATTTCTGAAAAAGGAAGGAAAGTGTGGTAAATGTGCATAAATTCATCATTTTTATAAGATATGTGAGTGCCAAAATTTTCAATGAACTCTTTCACAAACTCAAAATCCTAGAATGCAATGTAAGAAAGAAAGTGTTTCTGATTAACAGTAATGTACACAGTTTCTCAAAATATCACCATTTATAGGATGATTCCAGGTTATTAAGCATGTTTTATTGTCAAGCTCCAAACTGTGAATTAATCCTTTAAACCTAAAGAGTGATTAGCATTTTATTTCTCCTTACAATAATTATCACTTCTGAATCACATAATTATTAAGGTCATTAGAATAAAGGAAATGGTCACCAGGGAAGGAACCTTTTGATTGACCGACAAATTCTCCTTGTCAGCACCTTAGGAAATGTATAAAGAACATTATGGAGAATATGCATACTGATGTTAAGGTGTAAAGGGTTAATACTGGTAATAGGACAGAGTGGAGTCCAATTCGGTCTGTAATCATTCAAGTGATTAACAAAATTGGACAACCGAAACAAAGGATTCTGATTTGTGAATCACGAGTATGATTACTGGAAGAATTGGAAGACACGAAGTCCTGTTACCGATTTATCAAAACTACAGTGTGACAAAATTTGAGAAAGAAATTAGACATTGGTTATACGTTTTCATGAAAAAAAAAAAAAAAAAAGTTTTCTCTGCAAAATGCACAACAACTGTGCAGGCATATGACACATACTGTCCACTTACACAGGCATGACATGTTAACAGTCCTGTAACACTTTCTAATTACAAGCATAACAAGTACACTGTCCCATTAGTGCTCAAAATAACTGGGTTGGTGATAACCAATCAAGTTTGAGAACTTTGTTTTAGTTCTAATTATCCTTGGAACTATGTTAAACACACATGTAGTTAGTATAGATGGCTGATATTGAAAAGAAAAAAGTGCCTGAGATACTTTGTCACCTGAGTTAAAAGATGAACTTTCATACTTAAACTTTCAGATTTAAACTTTCAGATTAGCCATTAAGTAAGCTACCCGCATTAAGCTTGTGCATGTATGGACAAGTAAAAAGATTGAGTGTAGGTTTCATGCTTGGATACAACTTTCAGCTAACGAACTACACGTGGTTTCTGATAGAATACGACTACTTTGATGAATTGTAATTACAGATTGGCCACTAAAAACGTTAAGTTTATACGACAAACAGGAAAACAGGGGAGCTGTCATCACCCATTTGTGCAGATAATAAACTAAACACACGACAAACCTTGAAATTTGTGCTCAGCTTTCTCGCTGTTGTTTACATCTGGGTGATATTTTAAAGACAATTCGTAATATGCAGTTTTAATCTCATCCTGCGTTGCAGTATGGGGTACATCTAACACATCATACAAAGATTTCCTCTTGTTATAAGTTCGATTGTGAATACATCTCGCCAACGTGATGCTTCCAGACTGTCGACGCAGCGAGAACAGACGAGGTTGTACGTGTCGAGTGAACGCTATCCTCATGCTACGTACAGTTTCTGAGCCTAATTAAACAGTAAGAGGTGTGCAACATCTGAAAAACTTCAGTTTAAGACATCAAGGACCAAAGTGACTCCAATGATCGAGTTAAGAACATTTTCAGCGTTCTGCCGTCCGCCATTTTGAAAAAGTAATTAGTTTCCAGATCTCCGCTGACACTGAAGCGCATGCTTGAGGTATATTGAAAGCGATTGTCAAGGCGGTTGAACGAAGGCGCAGTTTATTCACATTTTGTGGTCGTGAACAAGCATGTAACTCCTCCGTTGTAAACGTACAGTTAAAGCAAATTATACTTCTAACTTAACCGAAAAGACTTCAAAACAAGGGCTGAGAGTGTTGACGGCGAGCACTCTGGCTAGCGGAAACCGCCGATGTGGAACTTTTCCCGCCAAATTTCAAGAATTTGCCAGTCGTGTTGACTTGAGACGTAATGTTGTCAAATATTGTTTCTCTCAGCAGCTGAGTTTAAAATAGCAAGTACTTCGAATATGAAGAAAACTGAACTTGCATTTTTCCATAGATAGCTGAATTAAGAATGCTCTTTAGTTCAAAGATTCGGAAGGGGTCTACGAGGTAATTCAGGAGGTCAAATAACGCAACGAGTAGCGGTTGCTTAACTTAACTACAAGAAGATTTCTTTAATCAGGTTTATTCTCGAGAAATGCTAGCGTTATTTTTGAACAGCTAACTGGTATTATAATTTTACACTCAGAGACTTCGTTCAATAGGTTTTCATTACATTAAGATAGTTGCCGTTATTTTTATTGCATCAGCGGAGGCAAAGGAAAACTTGTTGCCTGGGATAAAGAAAGATTGTAAAACCAAACAAGAAACCTAACTTGTCGCCCTGACTTCTACGAATTTAATTGTGCCGGGGGTAGATGTAACAGCGAAGGCTTTATCTTTTCAATTTAGAATTTTTATTTACACAGCTAACATACAGCAGCAGGTTGAAACTAAAAGCATAATTATAGGTTAAGTAACCGAGACAAACAAGTTATAAACAAAAAGGGATACAAACGAAGCGGAAAAATCACGACTTTCATCGATAACGCCTAACATCTACCTGCAATTGTAAATAACTTTTAAATTGAAGAGGACTTCTAAGCAAAGAATTACGCCAAGCGTGTAGTTATGTAAACTTACTGAAAAAATTTTATGCGCAACAGAAACTAGCTTTTAACATGAGAGGACTGCGAAGTAAAAAACAAAAACATGCAAAAAAGGTGTAACCGACGAAAAATTATATCAAACTTAACAAAAAACGCTAACGCAGAGGTCGGAGAAAAGGACGAAGTAAATGAATAAATACAAAATTGCACAAAAACTGAATAAGCAGTCTTTTTGAGTTATTTAAAAAAAAAATCTATGTTAGCGTATAGAGAGTGGTATGTTGCTCGCACCAATCAGATCGTTTAGGGTATGTATCTCGCACCAATCAGATCGCCGCGTTAGGGTATTTATCTCGCACCAGTCAAAGCGTCGTTTTTGTTCTTTGGTTTGAGAGGTGTTCAAATTTCGACCAAGTAATGCGGGATTGGGAGAGAGCGGTTCGCTAAATGGAGTCATCTTTTAGAGTAAGAAACGTTGGCTTTTCTGTGTTTTTAAAGTGTATTTTACCGCGCTTCATGAGAAATGCGATACTACTGCACAGATAAAAGATATCAGATCACCTATAGTAAAAGTGTTACTCGAAAAAATGGTGGATAGTTGTTCGAGAGGAAATGGAGTTCTACGCACTGTAACACGATCATGGTTAATGTTCCTCCTTACTCTGGAATCGGGTCTTTCGATGTGAGAAGTTTGAACAGTTACAAGTGTGTTGCAAGGTGGATTTTGTGTCATTATTGGCTGTTGAGGGAAATTGTTTGGCTGTTTCGAGCGTAATTTTTAGAAAACTGGACGGATGGAAATGTTTTCGATGCCTAGAGAAGTGATCTTGTGGAGTCGTTTATGTTTGGCTATGTTTATTTGATTCTGTTATCTGGAATGAATGCTTTACGGCGGTGATCTCCTAACGTTGAAAATATCTATTAAGTCGAGGGAACAGTTTTGGTCTCGGTCCGCATTTTTGTCAACAAAATAAACACATATCGCTTAAAAAGATGATAATATGGACCACGTGCAAAGCTGTCAGTTTTTTCTCGAATATTGCGCGTGTTCAATATTCAATAATACCTCTCATTTACATCTACATCTACTTTTATAAGGTTGGCGAAGTCTGTACAGACATAGCACCAACCAATTCGCGTGCAAATTATATTAAGAACGATTTTGATCAAGAAACGGGCCAGTAATATTCTACAGTAGTGCAAATAATCGTGGAAAAGCGTTGCGTGACGCTCGGTAAGCTGTAAGATGACATGTCATCACAGACGAGACGAAAAAACACTTTAAATTCTCAGTCTGCATTTTGTACCCACTCTGCAGTCTGCAGTTTACATTTTGTATCCGGTCTGTACTCTACATTCTGCAGTCTGCATTTTGTACGAACAGGTATCCGTGTCACCAATACAGTCTAATTTTAGTTGCAGTTATTCGAACAACACACACAGTCGACCACAAAATACCTGTGAGCGAGTTAACTCGACATTTTCGTCCTTTTCCGCCTTAATACTCTTTCCTTTTGTAAAAATGTGGACATCATCAATTAATCCACCCGCCTTAAAAAATAACTTTTGCATGCATAGCATGCCTATGTTTTAGTTCTGTTGTCATTAGAGAGTGGTCATTTGAGGGATGGAGGTAGGCACTTTTAGTCCTGACTATGAAATTGTCCTACTACTGGAGTATCAATAAAAATTAATTTAAACAATCCGTCTTCACCTCTAATAACACGCCTCTTATTTGACATGTGTATATTTGGGAGATTAAAGAATCCAGGCTACCTTGAACAATGCTCGTCATTTTATCAATGGTTTAAAAACCTTTGCAGCAAGCTGTTTTGTTACTTTATTTTGGTTGTGGGACCACTGGTTTCTCATCCTTCGATTAAAATATGTACTTTGAGGATCAGAATCAAATATGATAATAATTAATAATAATTAATAATAGCATTTTTCTTTACCTCCATTTTTTTTCTTTTTCTGTGTACTATTCAATGGCCATTCAAAGACATATCCAAATCCTTGTTTAAAAACTAGTCTAACCACTTCAAATTGACCCTTTACACCTTAACATCCGTATGCATTTTCTCCACACTATTCTCTATACATTTCCTGAGGTGCCAAGAGGGAGAATTTGTTTAAAAATCATGGGCTTCTTTAATTGGTGAGCATTTTCTTTATTCTGGCGACCAAAATGTTTGATTCAGGGTTGATATTGTAAAGAGAAATTAGAAAGGTTGAAGGATCTGGTATATTTCTCGGTGAATTTTTATATAATTTTTTTTTTCTTTTCTGTAAATTTTTTATTAATTTTTGACCGACGTTAATTTTTCTAGAGAGCTATTTTAGCTATCTTAAATATTCTTTCAGCTAATTTTTTCCTTCCTTATCTTATTACGGAATTCCATTCACCAAACATTTCTCTAATTAACGTAATTCATAGTTCCTCTATATAGACCCTCTACTTGAAGCTGGGCACAACTGTCACCCCTCAGTAACGTTATTTGGGTCAAAGTGTTTTATTTTGTTTCTTTTTACCATTTTTCCTCCAAGCCATTGTTCACAGCTTTTTCCTTAGTTGTCCAGTTGATCAGGCAGGTTGCTTACAAATAGTCAGCAGCCCCCTAAACAATTAATTAAGCCTTTCTGCTTGTGTAGTTTTTAATAACATGCACTCGTGTTACTCGTTTCCGTTAATCTCCTTCGTTTTTTGTTTGCCCTGCATCAATAAATTCGTTAATCTTAGGCCCTCTTCAGACATAACTGAAACAACATAACTGAAATCACTACTTCTATGACGGGACCTTGCTTTTTCGCTCCATATTGGTAGAATAATGTTCACCTATTAACATATTTGGATAAACAGTGGAAGTCATTCTAGCTTCTACGGAATTACGCTGGCAAACAAAGTAATTGATAGTCTGTTATCATGATATATATGTCAAAGAAATTCCTATGCGGAAATTGTTGAGGTTTTCCACGAGACAAATGCATTTCGGAGAACTAACACTTTATATCTTATACAGAATTTGCAAAGCAGCAGGAATCCTTCACTATAGTGATCAAAATCAACGCTTATGACAACTCTTGACTGAAAAATCTAAACCTCAAACTCCGAACTCGACGGAAATGCGTGACCCATTAGTCAATAATTATTTAAGACGCGTAATTGCTATCTCGCAAGGATCATCGTGTTACAGACTCTCGGCAGAGCGAGGTTCGTTCTTCGTTACGTTGAAAATGGCGGTATTTATTCGCTTTAAGGCAGCTCAATCAATGTGAAAGAATACAAAAGACATCCATCCTGTGTAATGGTTCAGGCCTGTACGGGATTTGAACCCATGACCTCTGCGATACCGGTGCAGCGCTCTACCAACTGAGCTAACAAGCCAACTGGGAGCTGATCATGAAGTTGGTTCTAAATAAACCCGTGAAGTGTCCAGCTCCCAGTTGGCTTGTTAGCTCAGTTGGTAGAGCGCTGCACCGGTATCGCAGAGGTCATGGGTTCAAATCCCGTACAGGTCTGAATTTTTTTCAGGCCTTATTTTTACTACTGCCTAAGTAGTGCACATTACTGCGAGGTTCACTTTCATTCTCGTCTCGTATTGTTACGACTCTGAGATGTTGCGCTGTACACTCATCGCTCGAGACTTCTGTGTTTGCCCGTGATTGTCACCTAGATTAAAGCAGTTGTTTACTATCTGTTTTACTCTAATGGCGCTTTTGGTGACAAAATAAATTTATTGTATTCAGTAGCGATTCATTTTTGCCAATCGTGACCGCGACTGCGGAACGAGGGAAGAAGATGAAACAGCAAGCACAAAACATGTTCTGAAAATGGCTGAGTTACTGTCGTGAGGCTGCACTGTATTTCACACTGCGAGCTACAACGCTCCTAAAATGAAGGGAAATAAATGTGTGATAGCGCGAGAAAACGAAACGCGTTCTTCTCTAAGGAATGATGCCCAAATAGCAGATGAGTAACACATCCTGGCGGAAACTCGACGATGTACTTTAATTAAATTAATGGTATTTTTATTATCTTAAATTCTATAAACTGCTAAGCATTCTGAATGATCTTTTAAGGAACAAGGTAACCATTTCTTCAATTTTTGAATGAGGATACATAAAGATAATTTTAGAGAAAGCAAAGTCGAAATATTCCCATGACATGCTAAAATTGTTAAAGATTTTCACGGTATTTAAGCTACTTTAATTTGATGTTACTTTTTCCTTTAATATCCTGACAAACAATTGGTTCATGCGTCAGCATGCTTTCATTGAGATATGAAGCACGCTCGTGCTATTGAATTTGGTTACCTAAATTTACTAGCTATGTCATGATGTCAAGTTGTACAGCGAAGAGGATATTAGTTCAACGTCAAGTTATATTTATTATAAAGTAAATTTTCATCGTTTATACATTAGGTGCGCCGAAGTGCACTGAAGAACCTCAAAACCCATCGCTTGTTGTGGAAGGTGACAATATTACCCTTGAATGGGAATATACATTTGGCGAAAGTGAATCATTCTTTTTCCTGACCATTGTAAAAGGTAACCTCGCTGTGGTGACCAAATTACTTAGCACACTCATTATACAAACCTCGTACCAAGGTCGCTTACACGCGAACATTACCGATAGTTACGCATAAGTCACTCTCCTGGGAGTGAATAGATTGGAGATGGGAAGCTACACGTTAAGAGTATCATCTCAACCAGATGGAGAATCAAATTCAAGTACAGTGGAGATTTCAGTACTGTGTAAGTATAAAGAACCTGCTAAAAAACAAGATTACAGCAGCACACTAAAAAAATAATTTCATTTAACTTTGTCACTTAGACACATAAATAATAAATGATAGTTATTACTTATAGGTTGAACATTGAGCCATACCTGGACTAGCGGCTCTAGTTACGGTGTTTGTGAGAGGAACATAACATCATTCTCTGTCGTGGTCTGGTGACTGATATAACTAGTAGCACGGAGACGCTGAGCGCACTTGATCGACCAAAAGAGCGAAAAAGACACTTGTTGAATGATTTTCATTCGCACAATCGCGGCCGTATTTTCAAAGTTCACATCGGATTGCCAGGCTGATGAAAAATCAGTGAAACCTTTATAAGTTGGTAGTGTACGTGTTCGACATATGTTTGCAATGTAAAAACTGTTAGTTTTGTATCAATTCTCTTTATTGTTTGCTGATAATTACAGATTTAGATAAACCAGATATTTATTCGACGGATATGAGTCCTGCAGAAGGAACTGCTGTGAAGATATCCTGTATTGTTCACGGGCAACCAACACCGACAGTATCATGGACCATGAATGGATCTCCACTAAATACAAGCGGGAATTCTAGGATTTTTCTTAGGAATGATGACAAGCAACTGAATATAATGAACTTGAACAGAACAGACAGTGGAGAATACCAATGTGTGGCGCAGAACAGTCGTGGAAATATTTCTTCCAATGCGAGTGTACTGAGTGTCCGATGTAAGAAAACTTTTTTAGTAATTTCGTTTTTTTTTTCTCATGAATTATGTCGCATTTAAATAATTGGCTAAATTACTTGCTCGATTTTGGTATTTGTAATTTATAACCCTAGTTTACCATTCTTTATTTAATTTTTTTAAGTATCGGGGAATTATTAATTTACGAAGCATTGCGAGTCTTTTTGAAATACTCTCAAATAACCAGGAAACTGCATAGTTTGGTCATGTTGTAACAAACGACAATTAATAACATTTCGGTAAACAAGCATAGTGAACAACTTAAATTTGTGTTAAGGTAATAAAAAGCCTCCGGGAGAACCCTAATTAAAGATGCCACACCCAGATCACTTTGATGCATTGTACTTCATAGATGATGTGCCTTTTCTTTTTTTTCTTTTTTTTTTTCACCAAAAAAAAATCAGTTGAGTAATTGTAAAATAGTAATAACGGAGAACACTAAATGCGGATGATTTTAAAAATAGCAGAGTAGAAGTATTCTTACAATGTGCAAAAATTGGTTAAGATTTTCGCAATATTTGTGCATTAGATTGTTGCAACAAAAAACCATTAATGACATTTCGGTAAACCAGCATAGTGAACAACCCAAATAGGTGTTAGGGTAAAAAGAGGCTCCAGGAGAACCCTTGTTAAAGAAGCCACACCCAAATCACTTTGATGCATTGTACTTCATAGATGATGTTTTCTTTTTATCACCGAAAAATCAGTTGAATAATTGTTAATGAGAAACATGTTAAGAGATATTGTTGGTTATTTGCAGATCAACCGGAGATCGCCCTTAATCCCCTGAATGCCACAAAAGTGGAAGGAGAAAACATCACTTGGTCTTGTAATGCTACAGGAAATCCAGAACCGATTACATCATGGATCTTTTACGGTTCTAACATCAATACAACTTACAATCCTAGGATCGTCTTTTCAAAAGGCAGACAGGAAATGACGATAACGAGTATTATCAGGACAGATAACGGGGAATACCAATGTATGGCGAGCAATATGCTCGGGAATGTTTCTTCCCGAGTTGCTACACTTGATGTACTATGTAAGTACGATTGGTTATGGGGAAAATTTTTTTTCAGATATTAAGAATGCATGGAAATGTTTGAAGATGAGACTGTACGGGAGACTGTACGGGAGACTGTTAATCAGTTATAGCAAAAAAAAATCATCTGGACCGATAAGTTTCCAAAGTCATAAAGTCTAATCTAAGCTTATGTCTCTTCTTCCGTTTTTTATGCATGTGCCCTTCTTAAACTAATCATCATATATTTCGGTGTGACTTTCAATTTTATTGCTTGAAAATTGGAAAAAAGGAAACTGTTTCAAAATTGTTCGCTCATTCCACTGCCTGTGGCAGATGACCATGTAGAAGTCCTTAGTGAACCTGGAGCCACGTTGATCGAACATCTTACACTAGCGTAAGAACCACTGAAACATTATCACATTCTAGAGCCCGAGGAAAACCTTCAGTCATTTGCGTATTTTACATTTTATCCACTCAATTAACCCTCTACACCCTCGTATCAGTATTTGTTTTCTCCATACTATTCTTTATACATTTCCTAAGGTGCTTGCAAGGAGAATCTGTTTAACAATCAAAAGCTTCGTTAGTTGGTGATCATTTCTTTTCATATCATGACCTTAATGTTCGATTCAGGGGTGATATTTTAAGGATAAATTAGATGCTAGTCACTCGTAGGAGTTAACGGGTTAGAATCCCAATCAAAATGAGATTAATCGGCACTGCTATATGTTTAATCAATGAACAAATTGTTCATATGACAGGTGCGTTATGTCCATGTACTAGTTACAATCTTTTGTTTTTGGTAACGTTAACTTAAGCTTAAGGCATCATACTGTCATCTGCTCGTGCTTTGAACTGACCATATTTCATATCAATCTATGAGTCGCACTCTTCACCGTTTTAAATTTTGTTCCCCGATGGGACTGCCTCGACTTCTAGGGGACAGATCTTCCTTTTTTCGAGGCAACTGAAAATGGTACTTTCTTTTCTATAATATGACCTGTTAATGACCTTCCTTGTCTTATTTTAACGACTGCAGATAAACCTGAGATCAGTCCTCTTCCACGAATGATTCAGAGAACCGAAGGAGAGAAAATGATTTTATTTTGTAACGCCACTGGAAATCCAGTACCGACAATATCATGGATCATAAATGGGTTTTCTTTGGACACTAATAACAGTTCCAGGATGAATTTGTCTTACGAAGGAAAGCAACTCACTATCAAGAATGTGAGAAGAACAGACAGTGCATTGTACCGATGTGTGGCAGAAAACAGTCTTGGAAATGTTACGTCCTATAACACTACCTTGGAAGTGCATTGTAAGTTATGAGTATTTTTAATAAATGAAACCTGAAGTTTTTCTTGTAAAACTGAGACGGTTCATCTTGCTTTCCACGCAAAAGCCTCACTTGGCCATAAAAGCTTTACAAACATTAGATCATATATAACACTCATCAGAGTCTCGTTATCTCCAAAGTCTGAGGGACAATCAACCATAGGGTCGAGATGATGTAGTTTTACATAATTATGCTTCCTAATTGCCACTGGTTTGAAAGTCGTAGGACAAGTTACCTAAAGGGCCTCTAATAGCGGATTCCAGATTTATTTAGAGTGCAAAACCTTGCGGAACTGAACTGGTGAATCTATGAAACTGGTTCATGAAAATATGACATTTATTTATTATATATGCAATTTACACTTCGTTTTGTAAATGTAGATATACCTGGAGTCACAGTGATTGGTGGTCCACAACAGTTTGCAATTGTTGGTAAAGTAAAGAAACTGCTATGCAAGTACGATGCTGTGCCATCCGTGTCTGAAGTGCAGTGGATAAAAGATGGAGATGTGATTGCTAGAAATTCTAGTCTGCTGGTCAACGAGTCCCGCCTTACTGTTTCGAATTACAATGAAAGTCAAATACAGTTACTTATAAATCAAAGTACCTTTCACGATGCTGGAAACTACACCTGTCTTGTTATTAATGCTGTGGGTAACTCATCCCAGATGACGTCAGTCATAAGCCAAGGTACTGAATGCTACTAAGCACTTTACAACTGCGTTTGTCTCTTTTTCGTATATTGAAAATTTAAATCCATGGAAGTGTAGGAATCTCATTTACCGTAAGCGCTCTAAGGAGGCATAGAAGCGCTACTTAGTTCCCTCACCATCCGCATGAGTTGCTTATTGGAGAGGCGGGCTTTTGTCCTCATTTTGGAGAAGAGAGGGGAATGAGGATCAGTTCGAGAGGAGAGCCCTGTTAGTGCGTGAACTGTAGCCCATGTGACGTTACAACAGAATCAATGCAATTAGGAAAAATTCATTCAAAATCTTTAGCTACTCATAGATCTTCGCAATGGAACTACTCCGTCTAATGACAAAAAATACTGGATCACGGCGAAGACCTTATCGTTCACGTGTAGCACCAAAAGTAATTTTTAAGTAAGAATTATCAAGCCCAATCTGCTTCATTTTTGTCTTAGGAAATCAGGAGCTCTCTTATGTGGGATACAGTGTTTGTTCTATAACTTTTACAAGTTAAAACAACTAACGTATTCTGTTTTAAGAAAAGAACATTTAGCCTCTTGGTTGAAAATACAAATATCGCAAAATGAAGCACCATTTCACTCTATCACTTATGTTTAGAGGGGAAGTTGAATATCAAATTTAACAATTCTTGCTGCTTTTTCACACAGAGCTGCCCTTAATCACCATCCATCCAGAAGGGAAAACTCCAATGGAGGGAGAAAATATAACCCTGTCTTGTAACGCCACTGGAAATCCAGAACCATCAATATCCTGGGTCAAAGATGAATTTCCCATCAACAGCGATTCTAGGATCAACTTTTCACAAGACAATAAGTTATTGACGATAACGAATACAAGCAGAACGGACAGCGGTGAATACCGATGTGTGGCGAGAAATAGAGTTGGAAATGATACCTCAAATTCCAAAGTGAATGTTCTTTGTAAGTGTTGTACACTCTTTGATTTCCAGGTCTTACTTGTTATAACTGTATTTATACTCTTTATCAGTGGCATTGACATCCTGGAACCTTAATTATAAAGTTGTCATATCTCTGCTCTTCCGATGTCAAAAATTGGATGAAATGGTCGTTTATTTTAACCAGAGGTACAATTTACCTTTGGATGCACGCTCTTGATGCCGAAATGGGTAGTGCAGCTGTAGTCTTTTCTCAAATATTTTTTTCTCACTTATTTCATTAAAAATTTTATCGGATCTATTTCATTTTGTTCATTACCTTGTCCGGTACTTGCCTGTTGTAAAATTCATGGGCCGTCGGCTGGTGATCATTTGTTTGTTAAAAAGTTAAATGTTGGTCGACATCAACAAATCTAGAAAGTGAGATTTGCATGCCGCACGTTCGAATTATTTATCAGCTCTAACACCGACGCCATTTACTTTTCAGTTGAACCTGAGGTTACAATTGATGGCGATCAGGATAAATATATGGCCAAAGGCAGCAATATCCGGCTGATATGTCGGTATGAAGCGTCGCCACCAGTGTCTGAAGTGCAATGGATAAAAGGAACTGTGATTGCTAGAAATACTTCAATGCTGATTAATGATTCGCGAGTGACAATTCCATCTTTCAATGAGAGTCAAATACAGTTGTCAATCACTGCAGCTTCCCTAAAGGATGGGGGAAATTACACCTGTAAAGTCACGAATATTTTAAACAGCACTCAGGATATGACAATGATCATAATTGAAGGTAAATGATAACGAGTTGAACTAGCCAATTAGTGGAGAATAATTCCTTCAGCAACGTTTATTAATCACTCATTGGTTTGAGTCGCTATATCAAAATTGAAACCATAAGGTAAGAATACAATTTTACCACTCCAACTGACGAGGACGTTTTCTCCCGTGCCACATTTACAACAAGATCGTCCTTGAAAACTGCCAATGAGTTACTGTCACCTTCCAACCCCTAAACGTAGTACTCTGTAGGTTATTTTTGGCGCTGTGTATTGTGAGATTACCACACGAATTTATAGAAAATGTTATACAGGCACTGTACAATTCCTGCACCAAAACGCAATATCTAACGAACTTACTAACCGTTAACCAGCCCTCCAAATTCGTTTTCTTTTGTTTTGGTCAGAGTAACACGTATGTATATATATTTTAATTATAATGAGCAGTAAATTAAACAACGGATAAGGTGAGAACTGTTAAATACGTTTGGAAAGCAATTAATATCACATGAACATGAAAATGTGTATTATTTTTTTAAATAATTTTTTAATGATAATACTGTATTTATCCACAGATAAACCTGAGATCGTGACGCATCCTCAAAATATCACAACAAGAGAAGGCCAAAACGTGACTTTATATTGTAACGCTACTGGAAATCCAGTTCCAACAATATCATGGTACAAGAATGGATATCCTATAAATAACAGCTTCAGTACCATTTTGTCACCAAGCTATGAACAGTTTACAATAGGAAGGTGAACAGAATAGACCGTGGCGATTACACATGTCGAGCGAAAAACAGAGTTGGAACGGATACTTCTAACGCTTCCACGATTAATGTTCAGTGTAAGTGACTTAAATTAGCCATTGTACATGAATAAGCACTAGCAGTCCTTTTGATGTACCATAAATCCATCATGAAATGTCAATAATTTACTTGGCTCCCTCAAGCCCGGCCGAACAATTTATTTTAGCACGCTGTTTCAGCCAATCAGAATGCGCGTCATATAGATAACTCATTATAATTGCTTTTGCAGCTCTAGCAATAATTATTTTTTTATCGGCCGTTCTTTCATCTTCCTTTTGGATCAAACTATGCTTTCTTAGTATGGAGGATCTTCTCGCCGGAATTTTTACCTTCAGAGGGCTTCTTTTTCACTGGTTCTTCGTCCTATCACTGTTAGTGTTTTATTCATCTACTCAAGAAGGTAAAAGACATTTTTCATTATTCGAAGAAAGAATTTTAACAGATTTGGAAGCGGAGATCAACCTCGTTAACTTCCATATACGAGGTATAGGCCTTGGCCGCGCATTGACTTCATCAGTTTAAATCTCCGGGTATTCACGATGTAAATGGATTGAATTCTCTCGAGTGCGAGAGAAGGATCGTGTTAAGCGAAATTTGCTTAGATTCACTGTTTCAGTCCATTACCTTAAGCAAAATATTTCGATATTGTAATTTAATTGGAAAGTTTCATTTTTCTCGTGTGATTATCTCAATTAAATCTGCTAACCCGCTTGAATACAGTAAATTTTGATCGAATTCATTTCTTTTAATTTCTTACCAAGGTGAGCTTAGTTTATATTACCTATATATGTTTCGAAAATTACGTATTTTATACTCGCATTTTAAACAAAATACTCATTTTGATCCAAAAGAATTCCGATGATTTTCAAACTAATTACTGATATACTTACTCTTAGTCTATTTCATGTTTTACGAGAAGAAAATTGCCTCGATGGGAAG